AGGCCCGCACGCCAATCTGCGCCTGGCGTGCGCCATGGGGGTTGGCGTGCGGTTATCAACCCCCCTGTTAGTTTAGCTGAGATTATTTGAAGCTAACACTACCAAAAAATTTGAGAGAAAAATTTACACTACACTAACAGTTAGCGTAGTGGGGTTTAGCGTCAGCTAACACTACAGAATTTCCAGGAAATAAAAAGGCCACTACACTAACAGTTAGTGGTCAAATAGTGTAGTGTAGCGTAGCGGCCCACTGTTGCTACCAGAGCGGATTCCCTGGATTCCTGAACGCTCTACATCACCATAGCATCCAGGGGAGAGCGGTGGATGGTGATTTGTGGTGATGGGCACTAGTAGAAAAACACACTGATTCCAATGGTGCCATTGGCACCGTTGGAATTGGTGATGTTGAGGGTAAATTTGGGTGAAACACCTTTTTCAGGAATTTGGCTGGGTGACTCAAGCGAATCTGCTCTTTTGTCACAAGTCTCTTGCGGAAGGGGGCGCTCGGCTCAGCGACAGTGTTACACAGTGTCCTCCCACCAGGGAGGGACTTGTGTTAAGTAAGCCTTTTTTTCCGGTTTGGGGATCCCATACTTCTTTGTTTATCCTTTGATATTCTGCAAGTTTTTTTTTTGTTCCTTGAGATCTGGGAGATCTGGCCCAAGGCCAGTTTTTTCAACCAAGCTTGATTTTTGGTGGTTAGTGAGGGAATGACCAAAGGAAGCTCATTTTCAGAACCGGAGATAGAGCTGGTCTCTGGATATCTGTTGCGGATATCTGCTATCCGCTGGCAGATATCCGCCAGTGCCGATGGATGACGGATACCCGCCAAAGGATGCGGATGCCCCCTTTCCCCTGCAATCCTGGCGGATATCCGGGTATCCCAGCGGATATCTGCCCATATAGGAGGGAAAAAAAGAAAAAAACAAAGATAAAATAAAATAAAATAAGGGCCTTAATAAAAACCCAGTCTTTCCTGTGCGCAGCACACACCGATTCCGCGTTTGGGTGTGTTTTTTTAATCAATTTTTTACCACTTCTTTTTCATGTTTTTTTGAAATTTTGAATTTATTTCCTAGTTTTTAAAATGCATAGAACTTTGTGGTAATATTCAATTTCTTTAAAAATCAAAGGATCACTTTGAAAATTCCAATCAAACATATTTTTTCAATTAATTTCTTACAGCTTGTTTCTCAATAATTTTTGTTACTACACTTTAAGACATGTAAAGAATTATGGTAATAATCATTTTGCATCAAAATGAAAATTAATTCTTGAATATTGTATTTGGCATGTCTTTTTAATTAATTCTTATAGGCCTAATTTACATTATTTTTTGGAATTTTAAATTCATTTCCTACATTTTGAGAGGTTTCAAGTCTTATGGTATTATTCATTTTACCCAAAAATCAAAGCTCCAACCTTAATATATGAGTTTACCCCGTTTCTTGCATAATTTGTGCTGTATACCAATTTTATTTGTATGCAAAACTGACATAACCATCAATTTTCAAACCTTTCAAAATTCAGGAAATAAATTCAAAATTCCAACAAATAATGAGCATCAGGCCTGTAAGAATTAGTTAAAAATAGGGGATTAATAAACGTACCCCCCTTTTCTGCTAACCACACCCGGTTTTTCACACCTGGTTTTCTGCTTCTACACCCGGTTTTTCCCAGCCTTTGTAATTCATTTTTTGGAAATTCTGATTATTCTAAAAATCTTCTAAAATTGATCATTCTTTTTGGGTATATAAAAAATCCTCAAAAGAGAACTTCAATTTTTTTATTTTTCTCACCCATTTTTTCCCAATTTTTTTTTGACCCTATGAACTCTTGAAAACTTGAATTAAAGCCAAAAATTATTATTAATTTTCAAGTTTTTAATCTTTCTTCTCCATACAGATGGTCCCATTCAAGATATTCCTTATTTTGTCCATTTGGTTATAGCTCAAAACCAACAACATTGGGGTTTCCAAAATGAAATCAAATTTGGTCCTTTATAGATTTCCCAAATATTGGGCAATATCAATGATAAATTTAAATGTACTTTGAATTCTCAAAAACTCATAGGCAGAAAAAAAAACTTGATGAATCAGATAAATTAAAATTTCTCTTTTGAGGATTTTTTATATACCCAAAAAGAATGATCAATTTTAGAAGATTTTTAGCATATTCAGAATTGCCAAAAAATGAATTAAAAAGGCTGCGGAAAACCGGGTGTAGAAGCAGAAAACCAGGTGTGGTTAGCAGAAAAGGGGGGTACGTTTATTAATCCCCTAAAAATACATGCCAAATATAATATTCAAGAATCAATTTTTATTTTGATGTAAAATAATTATTACCATAATTTTTTACATGTCTTAAATTGTAGGAAAAAAATTTAAAATGTCAGAAAATATTGACAAATAAGCTGTAAGAAATTAATTGAAAAAATGTGCTTGATTGGAATTTTCAAAGTGATCCTTTGATTTCTAAAGCAATTTAATATTACCACAAAATCCTACGCATTTTAAAACCTAGGAAATAAATTTAAAATTTCAAAAAAACATGAAAAATAAGTGGTAAAAAATTAATTAAAAAAAGAAAAAAGAAAAAAAAATTGAAGGCTTGCAGGCTGCAAGGACTTCAAAATTGCTGTTTATGCAGCTCCCAAAATCTGAAATTTCCCCAAGGAGCATTCATTTTGCACCCTAGGGGTCATTTAAGGGGCCGATATCCGCGGATACCCGCCAGCGGATGTGGATGTCTGATTTTGCTGAAAACATGAGCGGATATCCAAATCCAAACGGATATCCGGATGCGCCGGGGCCAGCTCTAACCGGTGACAAAAAAGAAAGTTTGCTGTCCCTGATCACAGGAGCCAATTCACTCCTCATCACAGTCCCATCCATATGAAAAGCCTGGACAGGCGCAACACATTAAATATGGTGGCTAGCAGTAGCTGTGGTCACGGAAAAGCGGGAATCCAAAGAGTCAGATATAAATAAGGGCAACAAAGCAAGGGGGGAAAAATGTAAAAATAACACAGATCTGGGGATCTTGAAATGCATGATAAAAACCAGAAAGATCAGATTGTGTCAACTGTTAATTAGATCTGAGCATGAAGATGAGGAAAAGAATCTTGAATGGATTCTAACATATAGTGTGGATTTTTGAGCGGCCAAAAAGGTGGTCAAACTCAGCTTAAGAGGAAAAAAACCAATGAGGAAAATTGTTTATTTTGTTGTAATAGCGGCGGTGGGCCGCTACGCTACAGGGCCATTTAGCGTTAGCGTAGCGGCGCAAAATGTGGCCCTTTTTTGTGTAGTGTTAGCGCCCTGCTACCACCGCTACACTACACTACTTTGTAGCGGCACTAACAGAATTTTTTTTTTCTGTAGTGTTAGCACGCCGCTACCACCACTACGCTGTGTTACGCTAGGCTACAGCTCTTTTAGTGGCAAAAAAGGCTAAAAATCCGCTAAAAAGCGCTGTAACGCAGCATAGTGGGTACTTTTTTGCGCCCTGTCCGTGTAGCGTTAGTGCAATTCCAACTTTTTGCGCTAACACTACGCTAACTGTTAGCGCACTGTTGCGCCCTTTATGCGTAGTGTTAGCGCAGATGTGGCGGAATTCCGCTAAGCTACGCTAAAGTTTAGTGGAATTCTGCTACGTTACGCTACACTAACACTACGGTTAGTGTAACTGGCCCACCGGGTTGTTTAAATATACTCAACACAAGAGTTGCTTCAAGCTGCAGTTGTGGAGAAAATGAATAAGAAAGAAGTGAATAGAAAAGATAAAAAAATGGAATTATCAAGAAGAAAGAAGCTCCATGAGGGTACAACAACCAACACTAGAAATGAAGCATCTACAACCTAGTAGATCAGCAGACACACATGAGAAAATTCAGGCCCTCCTTAGTTAGGGTTCTCAGACTACCAGATAGAGGGTGTTTGAATTGATAACAGGGTGATTATAAGTCAGACTTATAATTAAGAGGAGGAGAGATCATAGTGGTTATGGTGTAGATCCTGTTGATCATGTTCAAGACAATGAAGAGGCAGAAGTCAGAGAATCAGAAGAGCAGAAGCCAAAGATAAACGGGACAAAATCCTAGCAATGCCCATCAATCACAAACAAAAAATACAATACAATATGCTCTTAGTTACACATATCTCTTTTCATCTAATTGAGCACTCTTCATTGGCTCTGTAGCCCCTACATCCAAACCAGATTTGTAGCCCCCTGAATCAGATCATTGCCCCACAAAATCAGATCTCAATGGGTATATATCTGATCCGGTAGGAGTCAACCTCCAGATGTCAACTGGAAGTCCTCCAATCTAGTCTGAAAGTTAAAGCTAGTGCAATCTACTTGCCCACTTCAATGCCTTTCTTGAACTCAGCTACATAGAAGTTCCACCCAGGCCCAATCAATTCATTAAAAAAACTCCACTTGAAACCAGAACAACATGCAGAGCTGAATTGAATATACATGTCTATGTCAATAAGAACAAGGCTCTTCAATGGGCCATCTTTGACAATCTTCCTCAAGGAAAAACCAGTGTTAAAAGTAGATACAAATAGTTATAATTGTACCCTAACACAAATACATGTTTATCTTTACATTTGGATTGGGCAACAGTTATCCCATTTATGTTTTTTTTTTTTTTTGAAATAAAGAAAAGGGGATATAAGAATTTGTACATGATATTGGTCTTGTTTTGCAAAGATCTCAAACCTGGCTTTTATCCGTCAAGTCCTGAGAACATAAATACTATACAAAATACAGAAAGAGGATACTGAATGAGAGGAGAAGGTTTTTTGTGGGAAATAAGCATTAATCTGCATGCATACAATATTGGGATAGATTGGTTAAATAGGTTTACAGATCTGCAATAGATAGAGCAATGGACTCAAGTTTTTGATTTGTACAAAAGAAAGACTTAATTGGATCTCAAGAGATCATCTTGGCCCAGAATCAAGTTTCTAAACGGGGATTTGAATTCATCGAAGTCAGGATGCTGATGACGAAGCTCCTGGTCGACAGGAGTGATAGTAGGCGACGAAGAGCGAGTGGGTAAAGTTCGGGGAGAAGAATGCAGGAGAGCGGTATGGACCTGGGAGTCGAGGATCGAGTTCTTGGTCGGGAAGGTCGACGAGCGGAGGTACTTGAGGTTGAAGCTTAGCCCCACCTCTTCGTCTTCTTGTCCCAACAGTCTCCTTCGGCTTACGCGCTCCAGTAGTAGCGTACCAGCGTTCTTTAATGTGTTGACATCGCCCACCTTCTGGGTGAGCATTGTCCTCCCGACTTTGGCTCTTTGAGCTGGCTGGCCGCTTGAAATGCGTATTATTTGTAAGTCGATCGAACCTTCCTCCTTGGGCTGGTCTATCTTCTATATGATTAATATTAGTATAATTATCATCGTATGTATCCTTCGTACTTTTGGGAAAGTGGCGATCGTCGGGTGGATCAATCGTAGTATAAGTTTGATGGTTGATTGGTTTATTGAGTACAACGGTGGCGGACTTTCGATGGTCGGACTTGTTGGACAAGTGTAAGTGCAAGAGTCTCTTTGAGAGGTTACTTGTGGTACTCGACTGATGAGGATATAAATTTGTTTTATGGGCCATCGAGGTCTTCGTGCCATCAGGAGTATCTGCAGGTTGGTGTTTCTTGGCCAAGATATTGAGATTGTGTATATGGTGTTCCTGGTCTTGCTCATCCTCGTCTGAACTAATTGTCTGATCATTAGTATCATCTAGGTCTGAGGAAGCCGATGATGATCCACTGTCGTCCAAGTATCCGCCGTTGTTTTTCAAGAACCCAGCCAAGACCAAGTTATCCATTCGTCTCTTCCTGCAGGAATCGTTCGACATCATCGACTCTGCCTCTGATAATTGGGAGGTTCCCGGATGAGGATCGATGGAGGGATCGGATAGGAATAAGCTGGGGATCACTTTCCGGAGTGGGTGGTTCTTATTAAGAGTGAGCTTATAATTCGGAGAATTTTGATGGGTGGCGGACATGATCGATTGACTCGGTTGATGATGGTTGTGGGTATCTGCAAGAGCCAATGTTTTGAGGGTAGTGGGAATCCGGGTGAACCTTCGAATGAGATGATGAAGAGCCGAGCTATTACTGGGTTCATGAGTCTTCTGAGGGGCACTAGAGCTTGAGGGTTCCAAATGATTGGCCATGTTTCCTCTGACTACAAACTTGGAATCTAGAACCTTGATCGGATGAAGGTCCTGTTGATAGCCTCAGGGTACTGATACATATTGAGAGGGAAGTGGAGTGGTCGGAAGGGCTAGGGCATTGTGGACTCTGTCATTGTATACAGACGATGAAACCAAAGCCAAGTTTAAGTTCTTCGCTCGTGGGCTGTCTGAGTTTAAAATCCAGGATATGTACTGAAACTGAGGATGGATGGTGTTTGTGAGTTCTTGGCAAGTCCATCTGCCAAGGAGGATGGAGAACAAAGGAGTGCTTCTTTGGATAAAATTAGGATGGCTCTGGCCGCCGCCCGGCCCGCCCGCAATCGGGATTCGGAGCCGACCCGTAGCAGTTGCATGAGAGCATCTCCACCGCGGGACCTAAATCGGGGGACTAAACCAAATTTAGGCCCCCGCGCGCAATTTAGCTTCACCACTGCAGGCCCTAAAGAGGGCCCCAAACTAAGAAAATCCCTCCCGGGACCTACCCGAGTCTCACATTTAAGACACTATAGCTACCCAGATAGGTCCTCCCCACTTACATATCACAGCCAATTCCTGTGATACTTCACTCATCAATCTAGGAGAAACAACCCCCGATATCCCCAACCCTGCCTGCACCTCATCCCATATATCCGCCAGCCAACAGATCACACAGCAACAAGGACAGAATGGTGCAAAAGCAAAATCGCACAAACGATCCGCCAAAGAATGATGATGGTATTGTTGACCAGAACAACGACATCGGTGGGTTTTTTTTTACTTGGTTTGTTGTTTGCTTTTGACTGTTTGACTCACCTCTTTCTTCCCCTTTTCAAACCTACTCAGATGCTGATCCGCCTGACTCCCGTCAAGAAAGTCAAACCCAAGATGAAACGAAGAAAGCTCCAAATTACACTGAACCCGAGGACTACGAGCTATGTCGAGCCTGGGTTCAGGTATCCGAAGACCCCGCCGTTGGAACCAATCAAGACGGTAACACTTTCTGGCAACGAATTCGGACGGTCTATCACGAAGCTGTACCACATCCAATCCGTCCCCTCACCAGCTTGAAAAAGCGATGGTCTAACCACTTACAACCTTCAATCAACAAGTTTCGCGGTATGGTTCACCAGGTCAAGGAATTTTCCCAAAGTGGCGCATCAGTTGAGGATCAATTAAACCGTGCTCTACGGCTCTACTCCAGCGACCAGCAAACCCACTTCAAACACTTGCGCTGTTACAATCTACTTGTCAAGAGTCCCAAATGGAGCAACTACTGTCGAGATCGCGACCACGAGAAGAAGACCGATGCTGCTAAGAAGAAACGAGCTCGGAGCCCTAGTAGCGAAGCCCCACCTGCAACTGTGTCGACTCCAGCACCGTCTGATCTTGTTGATCCTGTCTCAGACTTTGAAGGCACCAGCACCGAACCATCAACCTTGGACCGACCAATCGGCAAGAAAAGGGCCAAGACGCTCAACCAAATAGCCGCTAAAGATACCGCTTGGAAGGAGGGGGTTGCCAGCGCTCACAACAAGATTGCCTCTGAATCCAAGCGGTTTAACGACATCATCAGCAACGATTCAGAATCTCTCAAAATTATCGCCGATAATCAGACCACCTCGTCCCAGCTTTCGATTATGAACCAGGACCTCAGTGGTCTTGATGATCAGCAACAGGAATTCTTTCAGCTCAAGAGAGCAGTCATCCTCAAACGCCTCCGCGAACAAGCCGACTCATCGTCCAACTAGCTCAAACTTGACATTCAAATCGATCAATTGACTGATCGTTGCTCAAACAAATCATCAAACAAATCAATCGGTCAATCGTTGCTCAAACAAATCAACCGATCAATCGCTGCTCCAAATCAATCGGTCAATCGTTGCTCAAACAAATCAACCGATCAATCGCTGCTCAAACGACTCGTTTGATCAATCGTCTCTCTCCATTTTTACTTCTTTCACTTTGCTCTCTCTCACTGAACCTTTTTCACTCAAACTCTCTCACTATTGTTTTCTTTGCTCTTCAAGTTGATCTGTTGCATTGTGTGATCTTGCTCAATGTCTCTCTTTTCTCTTTTAATTGCAATCAAAGGGATCAATTAACAGCTAATAAAAAAAATCTTGGAGTGAATAAATGTGAGAAAAGTACAAGAAAAGCCTGGAATAAGGAGTAGTTCTTGAGCCAACAAGAGTGAAACACAGCATGAATTAGAATTCAGCAGCATCATCATCCTCCTGGCGGCCTTTTATATCCCACTGATGCTTTATGAGATCGTTGCGTAATTGAAAGTGAGAACCAGAATTTCTCATAGATTCGTGATTGTCAATGAATTCCGCAAATGAAATCGAGGTCCCATCTCGCAAGACCTCGACCGGTGTAATGATGGCGGTAGGTGAGTGGTTGTAGCTATAGTCTAGATATGTACCTCGTTCATCTTCAACAATCATGTTGTGCAGGATTATACACGCTTTCATGATTGTTTTCAAGTTGTGATGCTTCCACCCACGAGCCGGACAAGAAACCACCGCAAATCTGGCCTGAAGGACCCCAAAGGCACGCTCGACGTCCTTGCGTCGGGCTTCCTGCATCTTAACAAAATGTTTCTGTTCGGCTCCTCAAGGCTGAGACATCGTTTTCACAAATACGGCCCAATCAGGATAGATACCGTCGGCTAGGTAGTATCCTTGTTCGTAGTGGTGGCCATTTATTTTGTATTCGCATCGCGGATCCCGTCCATTCAATATATTTGAAAATAGAGGTGAGGTATCAAGGACATTTATGTCGTTGTGTGAGCCTGGTATGCCAAAGTAAGCATGCCAGATCCACATGTCGGACGATGCGACTGCTTCAAGAATGACTGTTGGACATTTTTCTTTTCCTTGGAACTGCCCAGCCCAGCCGCTTGGGCAGTTCTTCCACTCCCAGTGCATACAATCAAGGGATCCGAGCATACCTGGGAAACCTCGTTTGGCACCATCAGTGAGCAGCCGTTCCAAGTCGGCGGTCGTTGGGTGTCGAAGATATTCGGCTGAGTAAATTGCAACAATTGCATTGCAAAATTTATCCATACACTGTAAAGAAGTTGACTCGGAGAGCTGAAGGTATTCGTCATTGCAGTCGGACGCACTTCCGTAGGCAAGCATTCGAAGAGCAGCTGTTATTTTCACCAGTGGCCTGATTCCTGATTTGCCCAATGCATCACGTCGAAGAGTAAAGTATTCGTCAAAATCTTGAACAGCCTCGGCAATCTTCATGAAGAGGGGTTTTTCCATTCGGAAACGGCGTCGGAAGATTTCTTCATTGTAGAGTGGCTGTGCAGAGAAGTAATGCTGCATAAGCTTGTTGTAGCTGCCTTCAAAGTCGCGAGGCCGGTTGGGTTGTTTTCCTGGATGTGAACCGCCATGCGATGGCAATTCAATTTCTTCTTCATCGTCATCGAGGAGCATTGGTGTAATTTCAAGCATTGCATTGATTGTTGTTCTGAACCTTGCTGCAGCTTGCCTTCGCCGTAAGATCATTTGAAGTATTACCACATCTTCGTCCATGTTGATTGTTTGTATGTTGTAGATAGACAAGGTTTCTGGGGTGTGCTGGTTTGTGATTCCAAATGGATCATGATTTAGGGGGGATCGGGGGATACCCTTTCACAGCCCCAAGGTGCTACTTTAAGACTCTGCGGTACAAAAGAAAATTTAGGCAAGGAGCTAAAATATGCGCCGCAGTCGCGCGAGGTCTAAATTTAGGGAAATTTAGGGACTGAGGTAGTCCCCTGCGGTGGAGATGCTCTGAATCCACAAATCCGGGAAAGGCCCAAAAAAGCAACGCCTGTTCCTTGAAGACCATAGTGAAATATTTAGGAACAAGCTCAATCATCACGACGGCCAAGCAATCGCTCGCTGCCGGATGCAGGGGGACGCCATCGGACGCGTCTTTTTTAAGAATCATCTTTTGCTCGAGGCTCATTGTTGTACAAATTTACTCAAGACACACATAAGGATTCAATTTATCGACTGGCTACTCCAAGGCAGTCTGGATATTGGGCTGCAGATGAAATCGAATTTCACTTAGGGCAGCCACCCGAACTTAACACAAGTCCCTCCCTAGGCCCGAATTAGGGCCGCCTCCCGTCAGGGAGGGACTTGCACATAATGTCGCACATCTGGGCTGAGGGCATCCAGCCAAATGGCCGGATAAATCACAAAACACCCCATTTCCCCCCCAAGATCACTGTTGTTAGGGACGCCGCGCGGGACATAGACTCGCATGATTTTTCTCATTTTTTCCATGTCTTTACTTTCCTACCACTCCTCCTGAAGCCAAAGATATTATGCTCGATCAAAAATGAAAGATACAAAATCTGATTTGACCATGACCGGATATTTCCACACCGATGTCCGGTCTCACGCCTTCATGACATCCACGTCATTGAGCCTCGGAGTCTCACTCTCACTCGCATTCATGGTGTCAAAGAACCTGTCAACTACGACATAACAAGTTTTCTAAATTCTGATCCGGTCATGCGAGCACGATCCGACTATCTGAAGGAGAGGAAAAAAACAAAATTTATTACTATTTGCCGAGATTTAACTCCCAAAGCATGTCCTCCTTCAAACAGAGGTAGGAGTCTCATTTTTGTAGCTAAAAGTTTTCTTTTTTTAAAAACAAAAGCCAAGATGCATGGCTAACCTCCAGTAACCTCATTTCCTTAGAAGGAATTGAGGTTTTGGAGGTAAATCAATTTGAAGTTAAAAAATGTGAAATTTCACCCTTAAACCTTATGGGGATGTTGAAATTTAAAAAGTATATTTTAAGGTGACAAGTCACCTTGATCCCTGCTCTCCTGAAAATTGCACAATGTCGGAACAAAATTTAATTTTACAAATTTGTACAATTTATCATCCTTTGCAAAAGGTCCGCCTTGCGAAATCCCTTGTAAAATTGCTCGCCCACACAGCACATGTCCACACTTGCAAAGACTCCCATACAAAGTCAAACCACCTTAAAACCTGGGTTTGCAAACCCACAGATTGTTAACAAATGATTTAAATTTACAGAGGCAATATTACAAAGTTATAGAATCCGAACACAAAATAACATTCAAAGAGCGCAATTATTATTAAAAATCAATTATACCCCAACACCACATTTGGAGATTACAACCCCTTGCAAAGATAGCATAAAAATAAAAATAAAAACACCCCTGAACATGCTAAATAAAAAAACCAGGCCATCCTAGGCCATCCAAAGCAAGAGAAGAGCAGATAAAGAGTTGGTTGGAGTCCCCTCTCATCGCGCACCGCGCTTTCTTGAAGATCGACGGAGAGCCTGACTACCTGTTCGTGCACCATGAGGAGAGTGAAGTTGAGGTATTTCTGGGGCTTGTGAATCCCCTTGAATTGTGCTCAATCCAATCACCGCCACAGGTTTGGAATTTGAAGCTAACTCCTCCTTCTCCAACCGGCGGTTATTCCAATAGGTGTTTGATATACAAGCCCAGTCGGCATCAGTCAAAGGCTTTGGGATGAATGTCTTGCTTGCAAGTTTCCTGGCCTTTGGCCGACCACACTTCCCTGTTGTTTTCTTGGACTTAACATCCAAAAAAGGAAGCTCGCTGCCCAAACGAAGAGAGGGAAGAGACTCTGTCGGCAGATTAGTTGACCCGGGTGGCGCGGCAGACATCAACTCTTTGGAAGAAACAGATGGGGCTGAGGTCGATACGGAATTCAATGGATTTGAAGCTGCCTTCTTATCGATCCTTCGAATGCAAATCTTCAAGCCCTCGCCAGTTGAATTGACTGGTTTCTCTCTATTGTTCCCATCTAGGTAAAAAGAATTAGTTAGGTTCAAGTTAATCACCTCAAAGAAAACTATCTGACTCACCCTGAGGCCCGCTTTCACCATTTAACTGAGTGATTGTCATGGTAGGATTTGGATCGGCCGCTTGTCCTTGTGTAAGATGTGGTAAAGCTGAATCAAATGTATCTTGGAGCACAGCTCCCATATTGACAAAAGGAATATTGTCGGCTTTGACTACTGGGTTATCGCGCTGGATGTTGGCAATGCTTGTATCAATAAATGCCTTCTCATTGGGAGTCCACTGTCGAGAGTAAATCATCCAGCTTGTGTGCGGTTGTGCACCACTAATGCTGCCCGGCGTGCGGTCCACTAACTGCGCAAATCCTCCATTTGCTCTGTCGTCGTGCATCCAGACAGCGGTTACACCATTGACGTACCGCAAAACCTTCCCCCAGTAGTGTAGATCCCCCCAAAATCCACGTGAAACCGCAGTGTATTCCTCCCCAGCAAAGTTGACTTTGAATGGCCAATTGATGTTCCCATGAAATCAATTTGCTGTCCTCGCTGGAAATCAACGCCACATCAACCTGGAAATACAATGGGGCCGGGGTGTACTGTTGATAACGGAGATGATCGACTTTTCATGCAGCAAGTTTGAGGTGATGGCAGGCAATTGAATCTGAGAATTCTCCTGTTTACATTGACGACATTGAAGTCCGGAAACGCCAACAAGGCCTGTTGTGGTCCACTGACTGAACAGCTCTGCAACATTGGCACAGTTGATGTTATTCGATTCGAACATCGACTTTGTCACACTGAGGACACCTAGGTCGCGAGAGCCTCGAGGATGTTCCTGTGCCCCAGGGTGGAGAGGGCAGGAAAATATTCGGTCCTCCTGCACACGAAAAAGCTTAGGCAGCGTCTTCGACTTGTTCCTCTTTGGGTCCAAAACAATCTCCAAAAATAGATCGCATGATGCGAATGCCCCAGAGATGAAATTTGCCGGGTATAGTTTCTGGGCCTCCATAAATAGTTTGTTGGACCCCCGAGTTAAAATTGAGCGCACTTGCGCACCCTCCTTCATCTCGTAAGTTGTTCGGGTAGTGAAGTGAGAGACAAGTAGGAAGAACAAATCCGTCTGTTTTCCACCGGGTTCTTGTAGCCAGAGAGGGCTGTAAACGGCGTAAAGAGACTCCAATGCAGCCGCCAACCAACATTGGTTGCGTGCCAGCCTGTCCTTTGAAGCAACGTAGGAGACATATGTGGACTGAGGGTCCCTGTTGATGTTTGGCGAATTCTTGGGTCTGCCTAATTTTGCCCGTTTTGGCAGGTTCTTGGCGTTGGCGAGGAGCTGTTCTGTTGTGTCTGGGGCCCGACCGTCGTTCCAGGCTGCTTTCTGTCTCTTGGTCGCTTTATTCCATCCAATCGAGTGGGAGACGTTCACTTGCTTTGGCGGGAGTGAGCCATAAGAAATTGGAATCCCACGCCGAACTTGAACCCAGTCCTTCTCGAGGGCCGTGACAAATGCATAAAGCTCAATCATCCCAATCATCAACGATTTTTTGCCGGTGCTATTCAAAGGAAAAAGTGAGATGTGAGGCTAGAGGGAACAACTGATGAGAAATACAATGACATTACCTGAGCATGTAGTAGACGCGGTGCATGCTTTCTTGAGCGTTTGTTGTATCAGGAAGACCGTCAGTTGTGTTGGGGCTATCATCAATCATTTGGGGTCGGCTGGGAAATAGAATAGCCTCAATGTCGGCCGTAGTCCACCAATCAATCCACCTCCTCACTTTGGGGAACCGGCGATGTAACACATCTATCTTGTCGCTATGGGTGGGGCCACCATCTATGTTGTGAACGAGCAATGACTCACACATCGACTCAAATAGAGACTTGAAACATGTAAAGTCAGAATGCTTGGGGGTTATATGGCGGAATGTGATGAGATGAAAATTCACTCACAACCTCATCAGCCTGGATCACCGCCCGATTGCGCTTGACACGTGTAATTGAGGCTCTGAAATGCTGTTTGCAACCTTTCAATTTGTTGCGTGCAGCTACCCGGTCGGTGCCTCCAAAAACTTCAAGGTATGCCGATATGAAGCCTTCCATTTGGGCCAGAGAGAAATCGACGACATTCCTTGACAGATCTTCCCGCTCAACTAGGGTTGGCCGCGCCGGTCACGAGGCGCGCCCTGGGCGCTGTCGCCCCCCGGGGCGACGGGGGGCGACGGGGGGCGACGGGGGGGGGCGCGCCCAAATGCCCAAAAACCCCCCCAGGCGCGCCCTCTCAGGAGCCCAGGGTGAGGAAATCAGTGATTCAAAGATCCGAAGACCTCAGCAACTTGAAAAGTCAATCCAACTCTATCTGAAGAATGCCCAAGACCCCTAGCGACAGCGAAAAGTGGCAGAAACCTACCAAGCATCATGGCGCTCGTTGGAAAGGATTTCTAATGTCTGTCAACTTCCGGAATGATGAATCAAGAAGACGAAAAGCGAAGTGTACTCACTGCTCAACAGTAATCGATCATGGGAAGCCAAATCTGCTGTTCGGCCACATTAAAGAGGTGTGCAACGGAATTTCACCTGAAGAAAAATCATCTTACCTTGAGGCCGCCTTGAAAGAAAGTAGGGACAAACTTGAAGATTCTACCTCCTCCAGCCCAGTCAATGCCGAAACGGAAAACTCTACCGCTGGAGGACAAAGTCGAACACTCACTCTCTCTTTTCCATCCACAAGCAAGGGATCAATAACTAATTACTTCCGGCCAATGAGCAACGAGCATACCCAGTACCTCCACGAACTCATGCTGAAAACAATCGTTAGCTCCAATCTCCCTTTTACCATCCTCGAAAACCCTTACTTCCAACAATATCAACAAGAGCTTGCAAGATGCGTTTACAAATTTCTACGCCGAAAGCAGATGGTTGATAACCTCCTACCAACAATTCATGCAGCATACGAAGTTGAGCTTACCAATAACCTTAAGAAGGAGGAAAATCTCACAATTTCTCTTGATGGGTGGACCGACACTGGTGGAAATAGCATCTATGCAGTACTTGTCCAGAGAGGCCCATCTGTGAAACACTTTGTTGACATTCTAGATCTCAACTGTAAGCGACACTCAGCCGAGAATATTTACAAGGCCCTGAAGGAAACACTGGCGAGGAAGACAATCGATATCAAAAAAATTAATGCAATTGTTACTGATTCACCCTCTGTGATGCTGAAGTTTCGGGTATGTCAGGGTTTCAATTCAACTCTTTATACTACAATGTTAGGATTGTTAGTTGCTCCAATTCTGATTGTATTTATTTTGATTCAGAAACTTATCAATAACGATCATCCACATGTTATGAAGATTCACTGCGCTTTGCATGTCTTCAACTTGATCGCAAAGCAATTAATCAACCATCCAATAATGGAAGAAGTTGTTAAAGGAAATAAGACTCTTGTCAACTACTTCACAACCTCTGGATTCTGGCGGGAGCACCTCCACAATTGGCGAATAAAAAATAATGTTAGTCATGGTCTTTCAACCTTATGCGAAACTCGGTGGTACTCGATGGCGAAGCTTTGCTTGGGAGTGGAATCACATGAAGAAGGATTCAAGTACTGCCTTGAAACTTTAGAGAACACATCGGTTGATACCCCCTCGATGACCAAGGCAGTTATCAACGTCATCAAAGATTGCGATCACTTCACATCTAACTCAGTCCTTGTCAAGCTCCTCAAGCCGATCGTTGATGGAATCGCTCATCTAGAGTCAAGTCACACAACTCTTGCAAGCATCTGGGGTGTAATAATCAATACATACACACTCATCCAATCGACCGAGGTATATTCGCGATTCCAGCCATTCAAAGAACATTGCATTAATGTGCTAGCCGACCGAGTCAAAGTTTTCCAAGACAACATCTACATTATAGCTTTCTTTCTCCATCCATCCTATCGAAAAGTTGCTGTATCACAAAAGCATTCTCTTGCCGATATTGGGATGATGATCCTTGAAGTTGCGAAATGCTGGAATTTCACCCGATCCGAAGCCCTTCATATTCAAACATTGATCAACCGATACTACAACAACTTATACCCCTTCAATGTTCAGCTGTCTAATTTCAATGCAACCACCCTTCCACTTAACTACTGGATGTCGGTCCCGATCACTCCTGAAGCAACTGGGCTGAAAAAATTTGCCATTCGGGTCATGGAAATAGTCCCTCATGCGGCTGGGGTTGAAGGCCTTTTTTCCATGATGAATTCAATCAAGACTAAGTCACGAAATCGAATGAACCCCTCCAGTCTCAAGATGCTTGCTCAACTCAAGCTCCACATGCTTCAAGGCACCGATAGTATCTTACAGAAGCGAAAAGCGCCATCGGACAACTCAAACTCAGTCTTTCTGAACTCGGAATACAAAAACATGCTGGCGTACGATCGTTTTCAGAATCCTAGCGACTTGGAGGAGTTTGAGCGAGGTAACTTGCCGATTGATGAACAATCCCCTGTCTCTACATCCAGAGAAAATGCTTGGATGGAGACAATCTTCGATTTCGATCTTTGGGAGAAAGATCATCAACCACAAGATGTGATCGTGGTCAGCGATCACGAGCAAACTGAAGACCCCGATTGTGACTGGGATCCCACAGATGTTTGGGTCCCCAATAGTTGAAATCAACCGCTTCTAAGATTGTTGTTTTTTCTCATTTTCTTTCTTCTTCTCAACAAGAAATACAAGCTACATAAGAATTCCCAACACATCGAAAAAAAAAAAATTAAAACCATCAGGAATAAGTCCCATACAGCCCAAAAAGCCCCGGCGCCTCGGCGCCCCCACTAGTAGGCGCGCCCAAGAGGACTAAGAAAAGGCGCGCCTCAGCGCCCTCAGCTCAAAGGTGGCGCCGCCAACCCTACGCTCAACTGCTGAGATTTCAGACCGCATGAATTGTCGGAAAAGAACCGCAAAGTGAGTGTGATAGTATATCTCAGAAAGGCCACGTATCCAGCTGAGCTGGACTGGAATCCATCGGTTGATCTTCTGGCAGTACATAGAGGTTGTAAGTAAGTAGCCCGACTTGAAATATCGATACGTAACATCTGATATTAATCCCCCCTGGTAGAAACTGGGCCCGTTTTCCCCATCCTCTGTTTTTTCCAAAAGTTGTGCGGCCATCCATGGGGTCTGGAACGTAAAATGTTCCTTGCCGTGCCTAAACGATGAGGAGATCACTTCCAAACCACGCCTAGAGCAAGTATGAAGGTGGTTAGTCAAGTTGAATTGACATAAGTGGGAAGATATTGGAAAAAAGAGGGGGCAACTCAACTCATCCCACATGAACATGTCATTCATGAACCGGTCTCCTGCTCCATCTCCATCTTTATCGGGGGCCAGGTTCAATCCTCGAAGAATCTCTTGTCGATGGTGTCGGAGCCTGTCTGAGTTTGCAAACGATCCATGTATACTGGCTACACCGTTGTCGGGCTCATGGGATTTATCTGGGTTGCCGACCTATATGTGTCAAAAGGAATATCATTCATGATTTCTCAGTTCAAGCTATATAACAAAAATAAAATGGTTTAAAGTGAAAATACCTTGAGTTGCAGAGCACCGGCCTTTGGATTTTTGGCAACTTCCAGGGCAAGCAATTTCTTTGTGAGAGGGTCAGCTTTCTTGGAGGTTGGCCATGGGTGGTCGTGGAAGCCTTGATGCCGCATCAGCCTCCACCCAGTACTAAGTTCATGATCAAACCTGGTTTGTGTGTGCCGACATTCCATCCAGTAGATCTTGCCAGCGCACCCGTCTGCCGGGCAACATGGGGTGCTGGAGGATGGAGAGAAAAAACGGTCAGAAAATTAAATTTGACAAATTGGAAGGTGGTTCAATGAGGCTTACGTGCGGATAAGCTCCTCAATCTTCCCTGGGCCTGTAGGGGTGGGTCTGGCATACTCACAACCTTCACTGTCACACACCATGACTCCAAGACAGTGTGCACGGTAAATTTTCCAACGGCGATCCTTTGAGGTTTTGGATGAGGAGGTCTTTGAAAATCCTACTGTGCCGAAATTAGTGATGATGGTTCCGGGGGGAAGTACGTATGTGGTGTTGTTGTTGGGATATAGGGGATATCCTTCCTTGTCAATAATACAACCATGATCAATAAAGGTAACTTGATCTTTTGCCAAGGGAAATCCCCACTGGGTTGTACGGGCTGAAGTAGCAGAGAGTGTAACAGTTGGTGTGGGAGATGTGGATTGCATAATGATGGTGATTAATCGGAAGAGAGGGAGGGTGGAGAAAATAAAAATTTGTATGGGTAAGCAAGCTGTTGGATGTTGGTAAGAATGATGGAAGTGAAGTGGAGTCAGATGGGGTCGAATGACAATTCCTAAGGGTTGCAGCCATGATATGCCGGTGGCAGAGACACCTGGAATTGAAGATTGAGGGAGGAAAGGGCCCTTTGCAGAGGGGTGTGTGCAAAATTCAACCTTGGGGTAACTATGAGCACATTTGCAAACCTTAGTAAGGGTCTTTGTGAAGAAAAGAGTGTGAAATTGTCAATGCAGCTCCGGAGGAGGATATTTACAAGCGAGGTTTTGCAAGATCTTGATTACAATGTGTCACTTTGACCTTCTTCTTTGTAAAAGTCTATTCTTAGGGAGGGTTGTGCAGATTTACAACCTCTGGTATTACGGAGTGATTTCTCCGTAAACTTGCCTTTCCAAATTTCACAAACCCCAAACCTTATGACCTCAGGCCAGTAGGGCAATTTGTCATGTAAGCCTCTCCTGCGGAGAGCGTCCCTTCGGGACCCTCCGATCGAGAGGCTTTGTTAACTTGGCAGCCACCCGTGTGTTCGGATTGAGATATCCCCAGCACCGAGCACCCGTACCCGTGTGCTTCAGGTGAATCAGGTGAATCACCTGGGTGAATTAGCTTTTAAACCAAATCATTGATGCTTGCAAGTTGCAACATGGCTCCTCAGAGAAAATCTCTTTTGAGCTTGCCCTTAGTTACCGGTTGCATCTCAATGATCATTGCTTGAGGACCGATAAGATCTTGGGGAGCAACATCAGAATCTTTTTTCTCTTTAGACTGTAGTTGCAACTTGTTTTTTGTACATACAGCTATTTTGGAAAGGGTTGTCCACTTGGACTCGCGAAATCTTTTTTATTTTTTTATTTTTTTTATTTTTTATTTTTTTACTGAACTGAACTAGTGATGACAGCTGTACCTCCTCGGCTGTAGTTCAGTACAAAGAAAAATTTAAAAAATTTCAAAAAAAAAAAAAAATTGCGAGAGACAACTGGACAACCCTTTCCGAAATAGCTGTATGAATTGTTTTCCCTCTCAAAAATTTATTTGCTTTCCTTCAACTAGCACAAGTTCAAAATCCCATCCAATCTTTATTTCAACATCATCAGTTTAGAAATCATGCCAAAAGAAAACACCAGAAGTTCACAATCCACCTCAAAAAACCCAATCATTGAAATCAATGATGAAGAGCAGTCCTCCCTTCCTGCCAAAGTTCAAACCCAACCCTCAAAAAGAAGTTGGATCTGGGCACACTTCACCAAGTCCGATGATGGTAGTGAGGTAACTTGTCATGTAACATTGAAAGATGGCAAAGAATGCCTCCAAACAATGAGGAAGGATAAGACCGGAAGTACTGGTAACTATTCCGATCATCTGTTAAAGATCCACCACTTAGAAAATCCAAACAAGGCAACATCGAATAGTGGTCAGTTTACTCTATTGAATTATGTCAACAAGAACACCAAGGGTTCTAAGATGACGCCTGAGGTAGTTCTATTTTTAATTAGGAAAAATGGGATGGTTTCAATTCTGACATGAATACTCTTTGTAGCTTGAGATGAATCCAGAAACACTCAAAGATGCCCTTGTGTATTTCCTGGCCGAGTGTAACCTTCCTTTTTTGTTGGTTGAGCATAAGTCTTTCCGGGATCTCCTTCACCTTCTCAATCGCAACACGTACTCTTTTGGAAAAACGTGCATTTCCTCTCACCTTGCCAAAGTGTATATCCGAACTTCAGAAATCATCAAGATGCAGTGTATTTCCACCCAAAAATTCCTCTCATTCACCAAAGACGCTTGGACTTCTCCAAATGTTGCTGCCTTTATGGCAGTCACTGTACACTTTATCAATGATGAGTTTGAAATGAAGGATTTGACTTTGTCAATTCCCTACGTTCAGGGTGAGCATCATTCAATAAAATTGTGGCTGTTTTTTGTTTCTCACTTTCCATCTCTGTTATTGATCATTACCAAGGTCCACATAGCGGGGAGAACTTTGCCAAGCTCTTTGATGGTGTCCTGAAAAGATTTGATTGCTCAAAAAAGCTACATACAATCACAGCTGACAATGCATCAACCAACAATACCATGGCTAGGAAGTTGTCAGAGTTGATCCCAAGCTTCAAACCGGGAAAACATCTTCTTGGATGTGTCGCACATGTTATCAATTTGGCAGCTAAAGCAGGTCTTGCCTTCTTGGGTTCTGACAAGATGGAAAATACAGACAAGCCACTTTCAACTTCAGCAATGGACCTCTTGTTCATCAACTCTGAACCTGATGGAATCCATGTTAACTTGAAAACTGTTCTGAAACGAGTTCATGGGCTTAGTGTCCACATTCGATCATCCCCACAACGCCAACAGCAATTCAAGAAGACTAGGGAAAAGCGTGGCTGGCGCCACGTTTTATGGATTAATTGTTGGCATAGAGAAAAATGTTCAAATATAGTAGGGATCAGTTTGTCAGCCTTAGAGCCAGCCAAGCTGGCCAAAAGACTGCTTAAGTCCTCCCTTTTTCACTCAAGTCCCTACTATAACTTTTTCATCTTAATCTTTTATTACTTTCTGACTTCAGAAATGAATTTCTCTGTTAATTTTAACCCTAGTCACCACTACACACTTTTGCACTACTCTTCTCCTTCATAGACTTTGTAATATTTCACAGTACCTTGTGAAATATCAACCAAGTTGGAATTCCAACTCTCTACCACATGTACACGTTGTGATTATGTAATCCAACTCTGAAAATTTTCTCAGTAGACACTGAGTTCGCATTTTCAGGATCTTCAAGGTTCAGACCAACCCAGAACCAACTCAGACCAGAAAACCAGCATACCTCAACTTGGATTCACCGCCGTATCATCGCCGTGTTATCGTTTGGAGTCCTTTACTCTTTGGAATCTTCCCACTCTCAGTGTCAGGATCACCAAATAGTAAGTCATTCCATCAAGTCAAGCTTGCATCTTTCTGCTAAGTTTCTTCTCTGTCTCTCTGAAGGAACCCTTCATTCTGTTTCTACTAAATACCTGCCTCCATCATCATCACTTCAATCCAAGTCTTCTTTAAGTCATCATTATTCTTTGTTTGGTGGTATAACTGAAAACCACATAGGTTTCCCTTTAAAGAACCTTGATCTTTGATCTAAAAAATAGTGGTTGGATTGACATATCAATACCAATAGCCCTTCTCAGTTTCATTTGATTAGGAGGCGTAGATTTATTCCACTAAAATAACAGCCATCCTCTTAAGGAAAGTAAGACTGCATTAAGACTTGACTTTAAAATAAATAAACAAAAAAAATATTATTCATTTCTCTTTCTCTTTCTCTTTCTCTTTCCTTTCCTCTCCTTCTAGTTGTATTTCCTTATCCCTCAGAAATACATCTAGTTTTGCCCCCCATCCTTGTGTCCTGCCGTCACTTTTGAGACCCAGGCTCACACAGTTCCTAAACTGTAACTTTTATTGGGGATAGATGGTTATCTAAAAGTGGTTTATTTACAATTTTCATCATGTTCTGGCTGAATTATCACTTGAGAGCAGTTCAATGGGTATACTATCTAAAGGTGTTACTCAAGAAAGGGCAACATACATTGGCCATGATGATGATAGGAAGTTGGTATTGGGAAAAGAAGCGCCAAAGTCCAGGTTGTTCTCATGGATTAGAGTAACCTGAGGAATCATGTGAATCATCAATCCCAGTGTGGGGTCCGGTAAGGATTTTGGCTTGGATGATGTTAGGCTGCATATCTCTAAAAATCATTTTTTACCATTTGCCAAGCCATCTTGTAAGCAACACTGGGAAGTTACTTTTTCAGTTATCTCACTGCTTCTCTTTTTAACTCAAGACTAGGCACCCAATAATTCAATCTATAGTATAAGCTAAATAGCATAAACTGGGGTTAGGCCTTGAGATTGGTCAAAAAAAGAATGATTTTTGTCCACTCAATTTTTTTTAATCCTTGATACCGTGGCCAAATTTAGTTACAGATAACTGGTGGCTTGGATAACTTTTTTTTTGTCTTGTTTAAATTATCATGTTTGCAGTAGAAGCATTATTGCCAAAATTATTTTCAAATATGTAAGAAGAGAGCCTGTTTTTTCATATCTACCAGACAAAAAAATTTATTGGCTTCATGTATTCAAAAGTTGTATCAAGTTAAAAATCCAAAAAAAAAGTAACTGATATGTAACTTCCCAGTGTTGTTGTAAGCATAGGTTTCACAAAATCATGATAGGCATTCCAATTTTGAGGCCAATCCTGGGGTCTGGGAAGTGTGGTATGTTTACATTATTGGACTTCTACAGGAACCACATTATCTGTAATGTTGGGGACTTCTACAGGAACCACATTATCTGTAATGTTGGTCATCTGATCAATTGAGGTGGAGAAAAATGACTGGCCTGGCATCAATTCTCTTCCTCTTCCTCTTCTTCCTTCTCAAATCATCAAACAGCCAAAGAACTGGAATCTCAGAATGACGAGGCTATCAAAGGTCTTAGTGCTAAATTCAGACTACTTGAAGAAGTAATACTTCCTTTTTCTTTCCTCCCCACTCTTAAAATACATCCTGAGAAATGTCGATGTGTATTGATTTCTTGGTTTCATTCATCTTAATCTGAACTCTTTTTTTTGGAAAAGATCACCGTTTATAGAAGACTTGAGAACAAAAGAAGAGGTGAGGGTGTCGCAAGCTGCTGAGTGAAGGTGGAAGCAAGCAGATTTGGGGGGGGGGGCTTATAAACAAATCAATGGGATTTGAAAGAAAACACGGGACTTGAGAATCAATTCTCGGGCACACTTGGAGCGGCGTCGTTAGGCTTGAGGCGGGGTGTGGCCGCGATCACAATTCCGGTGGATGATGAAAACTGGCACAGTTACCAGAGCGGGTATGGCAAGAAGAGCAGCGAGATTTATGTGAATGCAATGATGCGAGTGATTGAGGAGTTACTTAAAGTGGAGAAGACGGAAGGCCCAAATTATTTACCCGCCGGATGCGTCCTGAACATCAACCTTCAACAAGCGGGACCTCAGACCAATTGTAACAGGGCCCAGGACTACCGCTTTGTCCTCACTACCATCTTTGGTAGCAGACATCAGTGCGGAATCGACCTTTGCGGTTCCCACTTCTTGCCCAGCGAACAGGCTGTGCTCGACTCTCAAAATGGCTGTTGGGTTCCTCTCATCCAATCTCACTCAGACCCTGGCGCGATGAGTTTGCTAGTTTGCAAAAGCTGCGGGGGGTTAATGAACAATGAAATTGTCGAATTCATTGTAGACCGGTTGAAGCATATTGTAGTTGTGCAGTGAGCTTGACTGTGATTTGAAAAAGAACAATAGGAATGAATTATGCCTAATATAGAAGAGTTGAGGACAAAGGCCGCAGTGTGGATGTGGCGAGCTGATGAGTATAAAACAGGGGAGGGGCAACAACAAGAGGAGAGGATCAGGTTCCAAGACTTAAGGTCTATCACGGTGCCTTAGGAGGGGGAAAGAAGATTATGGATATTTACTGAATGGCGTCAAATTCAGATTGAGGAATTTCGATCACAGTTCCTTCCCTCATAGTCAATTGTTTCCCTCCAAAATCAATTTTCTTTCATCTTCGGAGGCATTTTATTGACTTCATCGGTTCTAATTCTGTCTTTTTGCATTTGGTCTACTGCTTTTGCCAAATCTGGCTCAGTATAATCTCCCTTAAACCTCGCGATCATCAAAGCTTGAGGATTGAGCACAATTACGGATTTAGCTATGGATTTATTGACTTCATCGGTTCTAATTCTGTCTTTTTGCATTTGGTCTACTGCTTTTGCCAAATCTGGCTCAGTATAATCTCCCTTAAACCTTGCAATCATCAAAGCTTGAGGATTGAGAACAATTACGGATTTAGCTATGGAAGAGAGGGACAAAAAAACAATTATTTTAGGAACAGGAATTGGCATTGGATAAGGAAAAAAATCCTGAGATCAAGTGGAGGCAGCCAGCCAGGGTTGATGAGATGAAGTGGAGGAAGTGAGCCAGGGTCGGCGGGTATAAAAGGCGGAGGTCGAGCTGTACTTTTGGAAGTAGGGGCTCCAAGACTTAAGGTCAACAACGGTACCCTTCACATAGCCGAATTATCGTGAAAATTTCCAGGTTTTAGGGAATTAGCTGTTTTGGATTGATCAAGGAGTCCAATTGGAACCATACGAAAAGAATACATTCTGCCTTATACTTGATGTGGAGACTCGATGGAACTCAACCTTTGAAATGCTCCAACGAGCTGTACAACTAAAGCGGTCATGTACTCAGTATATCCGTGAAAACAAAGATGCTAGGAAGTTTTCACTCACCGAAGACAAATGGAATCAAACAATCAATATAATGAAGCTACTCAAGCCTCTAAGTCTTGCCACACACATGTTAATTAAGTCACTATACCCTTCTTTGAACTCGGTGCTTCCGGTATACATGGTCCTAGTCAAGCACCTCAAGACAGTCCAAAAAGGCCTCTACGACCAAAGCCAACTCATCTCCCCAGCCACCCAAATTATTGAGAAGATCAATGGCTATCTTAGGAAAGCACTGGAAAAGCCTGTGTACATATGTGCCATGATGCTTGACCCGCGGTGTGGTATGTCCATACCTTTCCATGTATCCTCATTTTTCATATCATTTTACATATATTCTTCCCAGTATTATTTCATATTTAGATTCTATACATCATTTCACCTCTAGTCACCTCTTACAGCTTTTCAGTAGCTCTTATAGTTCTCTAGTTATCACCTCTTCAGTATATTCTAAGTTACAGAACAGTACATTACTTTGTACAGTGGGTGGACCGTTATTTTTGGCTGCTTGTTTTGGATCCCAGAGCTTCAAAGCACCAGATTGAAGTCATGGGGCTTGGTCAATTGGTGCAGAATAGGTCCCAAAAAATGAATATGAAAAAATAAAAACAAAAAACAAAGTTTGAAAATTTGTGAGAAATAAAAAATAAAATTTGTTTTTCTCAAAAGCTTTGATATTCATTTTGGGGGAGTGGGAGTGCTGAGAGAAAGAAAGATTGGGAAATGAGAAGAATTATTATAAATGAAAATTTTGGAAAAATTGGTTTCCAGATGGCTTCAAACAGCTGTTGAGTGAGGCATTCACCAGCCCACATTGCAGTAAAGCACTAGTATTTACTGTTTTGGCTCCAATCTGGACAACCAACCTGGCCAAAACTTTTTTAGTTCCAATTTTTTTCATTTATAATCATTCTTCCCATGTTCCCCTCTTTCTTTCTCTCAGCACTCCCACTCCCCCAAAATGAATATCAAAGCTTTTGAAAAAAATGAGTTTTATTTTTTATTTTTCACAAATTTTGAAACTTTACTTTTTGTTTTTATTTTTTCATATTCATTTTCTGGGACCTATTATGCACCACCTGAACAAGTCTCATAACTTCAAGTCTGTTTTTCGGAGCTCTGGGGTTCAAAACAGGCAGCCAAAAATAACGGTCCACCCACTGTACATACAGTACATATACATTACACATTATCTAGTTACAGTATCTATGTAGCATCACTCTTTCATCATAGTACATCATCTTATCTGCACTACATCATATACATATTTCCTTTCACACTGCTTTGACTTTCCATACCTGATTAACACTTGTATACACAGAACATCTGTCACTTAGCTACATTATTTCTCATCACTCATTACTGTTTAAGATTTACATTACCCATAGCCAGGATTTCCCCAGCCATGGTGCTTTGCTGTTGTATGTACAGGTTGTACACATATATACTCTTCTCTTCCTCCTCATGTATTTTCCCCCTTATGCCAGTTTTCATATGTACCCTCTAACCATAGTCTTAGAAATCATAAATTAGCATCACCCTTATATCCTCATCAGATATCATTGCCAGTTATATTTGCCAGTTATACATCCCCCCTTGCCAGTTATAAATCCTCAATTGCCAGTTATAAATCCTCATTTGCCAGATTATTCCCCTTGCCAGTGTCATTCCTCATTGCCAGTGTCATTCCTCATTGCCAGTGTTACACCCTTGCCAGTATTATCCCATCACACCTCATTTCTCCTCCTCCTCACACCTCAGTAGGTACTACATACACAAGCTCATCAGTAATAGTAGTCTAAGATAAAGTAGAAATCAGCCACACCTCTATTCTTCTTTTTCTTAGTGTTACACTAGGACCCAGGAAACCGCCTAAAAATGTCAGTAACGTAAATCCCTGGATTTTCGGAAAATTCATACATCGGGGGGCACCGGGGACTGGCATTTTCAGGGCCATTCATACCCATTTCGTGCGTATGCTTGAGTAAAAATCCCCCGGAAAGTGAAAAAATCCCCCCGAAAAAGCGGGGACTAGACATTTTGGCGGGTTTTGCTCAAAATTGAGGCAATTTTCATACATTTCAACTGTGTTTCGTGCGTAACATTTTTGCCGGCCAAACGGATTCATACCACTTTCGTGCGTATGATTTGGCTTTTTTTTGAAAAAATTCATACATTTACGTTACTGACATACTTCGGGGGTTTCCTGGGTCCTGTTACACTCTTCCCATCAGCATTGTACAGGAGGGCAGCCTCATCAGCACCTGTAGTATCAACTTACATTAGTACTAGTGTAGTTGTCTATATCCCCTCCAAGCTCTATCTCCCTGGTTGAGTAGTTCCACAGCGGTTCAAGTTACAGTTTTGGCAAAAGCATGCCGACTTTATAGAAGAAAATTACTCAATATCGTTGGAGGATATTCGAACAACCTTCTACCAGAGTGAAAAACAGTATGAAGAAAAACAAACCAATGATTTAGTCGAACTGCAAGGTACCAGCAGCCCCAAACAATCTAAAAAACAAAAAAGTGAACCCAACATATTCAAGCAAGAGATGTTTTCCACTGCCAACCCAATCGACAATGTCCAAGGTGAAATAAAGCAATATTTTGATCAAGAAACAGAGGACAAAGACATCAACATTCTCGATTACTGGCGAGGTCGACAAAGAACTTTTCCGATCTTAGCTCACATGGCACAATGCTTTTTAGTGATTCCTGCCACCAGTGCTCCCTCTGAACGGGTCTTCTCACAAGGCCGCGCTGTTGTCTCCTGGCAGCGGTCAGCACTCCAGCCGGACGTGATCAAACAAATCCTTTGTGTAAAGGCTTGGTACAAATTCTTTGGAGGACCCCCTCCCAAACCTTCTTCCTCATTATGATTTTTTCTCTTTTTTCCTTACTCTTCTTTTCTCTTCTTTTTTTTCTCTCTTTATGTACCCCCCTCCTTTTCTCACTTTTTCTTTGCTGTACATATTTTTTCATACTTAGTCAATAGATTGTTTTGCCTCGCCCCCTCCCAGACAAATGAGGAGATACCCGGGTGACACACGGGCTACACTCTTCCATTTTGAGAAACCGTACCCGGGTGCCATCACACGACTGCTGCACCCGTGTGCGGGTGTTCGGTTGGCTGCCCTAATTTCACTCAGATCATCAATCAAGACAGCCTCAGTTCACTCAGGATTAGTTCTTGGCAAAAAGGGCCCCCCACGTACTGTGGGGTTCACAATCTGAATTGTCGTAACCTGTTGTTCCCTTTATATTCCCGTCAATGGTCCTTTCCTAGCTCAGTAGAGATTACTGATTATACACTCTGACTTGAGCTAGGTGAGCTTTCCCTTTTTCTCTTTTTCTGATCATCTTTCCTCCTTAGTTGTAAGAGAGATTACTGATTATACACTCTCTGAGCTAGACTTGAATGAAATAAAAGCCTTGTTTGGCTCTAGAATTCTCTCCAAGATCTTGCACTTACGAATAGTGAAGAGCTCCTGGCCCTTACATTGGTTTCATAAACAGGTAAGGTATAGTTGTACGAAGCGAGCCTCCGAAGGACTCAGGAGGCAGAGGACGGAGTGGCTTGCTTTGCCTGGTGCCCCCGGGCCGGGAACTCCAGGGTCACCCGGCCGGATGATGTTAAGCTAGAATGCCGGAGCGGTCCGAAACCCCAGTCCGGACCGATTCCAATCACTGCTGGTGCGCTCCCCACTTCCCTGCTTGAATTTTATTGGAATGATCCCTTGCAAAGCGCATAGTAATCTTGATGTGTTACAATTACTGGGCCTCATCCCGACTGTCAGATGCGCAATTGGACTTGCAATCTTGTTTTGGCGGCCTTCAAGTTCAACAAGTTGTTCAATAACTCCAATTATAAAACCTCGGTACATACATTAGATGAAGCCTGCCGACCGTTTAAAAATTAAAAGGTATCTACTCGGCGGAACACTTGTATCACAACTTGTACACTGAGGGATGCTGTCCAAACAGTTTCCAAACTGTGTGGTTACAAGAGGTTACTTGACGGCTCATGGGCGGCGGCCGTGTCAAGCTCCTAAAGATTCGAATATAAACAGCTGCTGAAGTTTTTTTTTTTTCCTTTTATGTATTGAATGATGTGTCATTCTGATTTGAGAGAAAATTGATTCATCTAGTCATTATTGCAAGGCATGCTATTTGATCAGCCAGGGATCAGATTAGTAGGAATGGAATGGACAGTTTGTTTGATTCTGGGATGTTTGGGCACCATCTTTACCACCGGGAATTTCGATTTTGCCATACATCCTTCCGAACCGCTGTTAAAACCTTACGATCAGCACTCAGGCGTTCAAAGTGAAGACGTCAATTTCAAAGAACTTCACGAATATCTTGCTCATCGTGAAAGTCGTGGCTTCCCTTCAGCTGGCCTGAGAGGTCAAGCAGATCATCCAGTGGCTAATGAAAGGCCTGGCGCAGATATCTTGACTGAACCTCTGAAAGCTGATACAAAATATCTGATGGAATCTCCAGGAGTTTGCTCACTAGAACTCTTGACCAGCGAGGGTTATGGCGGCAGTCTCAACATGGTATTCCAAGATGAACTGACAAGTAAACATCCCATCACTCCGGAATTTTTAGAAAACGATTTTGTTACTGGCATAAGGGACACATACACCCCAGAAAATTTGGACCAGTTGAGTCCCTGCAAGGTAATGGATGAGTTGATTGGTTGTAATCTTGATGATTATCTCGATCTCATGGAAACTGGTGCGCTACTTCAATCTACCTATGAAGCGGTCAAGGGCCAATTCTAATAATTATTCAATCCTCTACATATAGACCTCCCAACTGACTCTTGTGAATCACATGCATTAACTGAGATAGCTTCTCACATGAAATTCCCAAAAGCCCCGCTGGAAAGAAATACAATCAATGCTGAATTTCAAGTAGGCAATCAAAATGAATGTTGCGCAACCAACAACCATTTGGAAGCTAAAAAGACACCTATGGAGATCTCTACAAGAGAGAGTATTGAATCAGAAGGAGGTCATGCTTTTCAAAGATCTCTTGAACCTGTGACAAATAGTGATCAGGAAAGAAAACCAAGGGAGAATTTTATATACATACCATATTTCCGCATCAGGAGCAATAGTCTCAAGAAAACAAACAGAAGATACCTCTCAAGTTCATCCAAAAAACACATTTCCTTTGTTGATCAGTCAAGTTCCATGATTTCTAAACCTCACTTCCCTATAATAAGTCAACAGACTTGCAGACCTATCATTCAAGTAGGGCCTGGGACTAAAAGAAAAACAATCTGCTTTCCAAGATTAAAATTTGGTCTTGGGAATATAAATTGTATAGAAATTGAAAAGAATGATCATCAAGACAAGCAAGAAAAATTAGTTGAACTTTTGAAAAATCTTCCAGATCCACTGATCCTAAGTCTCGATGAATTTGAAGCCACCAGTAGTGCACTCATCACATCAATTCTTGAAAGATCTCCTGAGATAATGTCTTATTCAAAACAAAGAGATCAAAGAGATAAATTCTGGAGAGAAAAAAGGAAAGAATTGCAAGACAATAAAAGTGTGTGGTACAAATATTGGAATGATTCAACAAGAATTGATTTCCAAAAGACCTACCAAAGAAGAATTCAGATCATAAATCTCAAAGAGTTATTTCTGGTTTATTTATTTTATGTAGAAATGATTTTTAAAATTTTACCTTTTCATAAAATTACAGACGAATTTGAAATATCAAATAATGATAATTATGTTAAGCAAATGAAGATAGCTATCAATCTATTTTTGAAAATGGATAACCCAGGAGAAGATTCAAATAATGATACTCTGTTAATGGAAAAGAGAGGCCAGTTAATCCAAGCAATAAAGACCGGAAAGCTTGGTGAATCTAGAACACTTTGGTACATTTTAGATCTTTGGATTCAAAGAAACCATCAAGAGCTATGGGATAGAGGGAAAGATACTCAGGGAAAATCCCTCAGAGCTGATTTCAAAATTTTGTTTAACTACATCTTTTGCTTTTCAATTCAAAACTTGAACAGATCTTATAGTAAGCTGATTTCTGAAAGTAAGAAGATCACTTAATACATTGGAAGAACTTTTCACATTATTAATTGAACAAGTTTATCTAACTGATAAGTGCCATAGTTACATACTTAACCTGGATACAAGTGTTATTTAATTTAAGCATCATGAACTGAAAATTTGCAAGTATTGGGCAACAATACCTCAATTTTCTTTAAATCAAAAATTCCAAAAGTTAATTCTCAGTCAAGTTTTCTTGCCTGTCTTGTTCAGCTTTGCTTGGGAATGGAATTCAAATTTAGCTCCTAGGTTGTAAAATTGTTTAACCAGACTCAATGATAATATTTTTCCATCATTTATTTGTGAGGGGGTTAAAATATACTGAGTTTTGTTTGAGTCCCATTTCTGCACATTGTGAGAAATTACCTTCTCTGATCAGTTCAGGGAAAAACTGGGACACTGTACTATCTTACATTACCCTTCCAGCTTCTCCTTAGTACTTACCACACTTTAGCATAGAAGAATGTTTGGATTGATACAAATAAGCTTGACCACTTTAGCTCAAAATCAGTGTAGCACGGCTTAGAAACTATGTATCAACACCCCTCACAAGCGAGTAAAAACCCAATGATGTCTCTGCTTTTGAACTAACATGAGTTGATCATCTCAGAAGAAATTGAGTCCAGTCATCAAGCTTAAGGAATAAGAGACAGAGACCGGACGAGCAAGATAGTGCAAACAAAGATTTCATGAAAGCTGGACTGCGTATAGGCATTATCAAGACCACCAGGTCATATACTGGCCCTCTGAAACAAAGGGCGTTTTAAGTTAGACGGAAAGTGTTTTTAGTTTTGGGAACACGTGGTCTGTAAGAAAACTAGGACCCTAACATTTTTCTTGGGTGTGGCGGGTCCACAATCAAGTGGACCCGTTGATTGAGGGAACCATTGCCTTGTGCTTCGCTGCTATCTAAAAGATACAGAAGGTTTCCCCGCATGAAAACTGGCGCAACACTGAATTCATATCATGATACGACTGTTTCGTGGATGAGAAACATACGGCTCTTACGACATGTCATGAGCAAGCCATCCATCTTCTCTAACACAAATGTGCACGTCTACGCGTCCCTGGTCCAACAAATCTTGTCAACCTTTTTGAAACTGAGTTTACTCATGGTGAATGACTCTATGTTGTAGACGCATGAATATTTACTCCGTCAGATACATCGCATCAGGAATTGTGCATTGAGGCACAGACCTATGTTACACCGGGGGAAGCACCCATACCGCTCGGAGGTCGCGCTCCGGGCTGAGCCCAACTTTATTCAAGTGAGACAAGGCCCAGGGGCACACCAAAGTATTGGAGGTTTCCAAGCTCCATCATGGTATGCATACATAGTTGTTAAAATTGGCAGCAGAGTGGTCAAGCTCCAAAATTGAACTTTTAACCTGACTTTTCAAAGATTCTCTGCAAAAAGATATTCAAGTTGTGTTTTTGAGTATATTGTCGCACTTTTGTTTAGGCAGAATTCAATTCATCCAGACATCTCAAGTCGGCTGTTGTATCAGTCAGTTCTCGGGCTAGCAAGCATGAAACGGGGTAAATATCTTGTTCTGCTAGGATTGTGGGGTATTGCCGTTACCAGTACAAACTTTGATTTTGTCTCAACTCATGCCGGGCCGCTGTTGGAGGCCTACACTCCGCACTTTGTTGTTCAGAATGAAGACGTCAATTTCAATGAACTCCACGAATATCTTACTCGACTTGAAGGCACCAACTTGTCGTCATCTAGCCTGAGAGGCCAAGCAGAAGCTTCAACCACTGATCACACGCCTGCGCAGATGCTGAATGAATCTCGTAGAGCCTACACAAAACACTTAATGGAATCTCCTGGGGCTTGTCCACCAGCAATGTCGAAGAGTGGGGATTGTGGTCAAAGTCTCAACATGAGATTCGATGATGGATCCAAGAGTGAAGATTCCGTCACCAATAAATCTTCAAAAATCCTTCTGGCCACCAGCACAACGGATGAATACACCCCCGAAATCTTTAAGGAAATGAGTGCGTGTCAAGTGATGGATGAGTTGATTGATTACAATCTCGACGATTATTTTGATTTCATGGAAAGTGGTGCGCGATTTCAATCTATTTTTAAAGCAGACAATGGTCAGTTCTAAAAACTATTTACTCCTCTACAGACCTCCCACCCGCATCTTGTAAATCACATGAATTACCTGCCATGAATTCTCACATGGTATACCCAATAGCCCCATTGGAAACTGGTGTAGTCACGGAAGAATTCCAAGTAGACAAACAAAATCACTTTTCCAAAATGAGTGAGTATTTAAGAGAAAACCAAAATCCTAGTGTTATCAAATTAGCTGGAAACCAAAATCCAATTAGTTCTTCTGAAAGTAAGAGAATCGACTCAAATGAATCCTCAGTTTTGCAAGGACCTCCTACTCAGACTAAAATTAGTGGGAATATTAAGAAAGCCAAGAGAAAGAGAATTTCTAACAGTTCTGAATCTAATTCATGCCTTGAAATGGGTCAAATAGCTTTTAACAAATCAGGAAGACAAGAAAATTCTAGTCCACTCATGTTTCTGAAAGATTCAAGCTCGATCATTTCAAAAAGTGATCATCTTCCTAGAATTATCACGGAATTTAACAGACCTGTTAAGCAAAGAGAGGGTAACCCAAATGACTTATTTCCGAGAATAAGCTTTGATTTCGATAAATTAAACTGCAAACATGTTCCAGAAGATCATCAAGTCAAGAAAACAAAATTGTTAAACTTGATCAAAGATTCTGGTCGGATGCTTATCATCAACTTGAATAAAATCCAAGATATTAGTCGTTATTTTATTTCAACAATTGATGAAAGCTGTGAGACCCAAAAGTCTTCTCGGCCGCTAACACCAGAAAGAAAGGGATTTTGGGGCTCAAAAAGGAATCAATTCATAGAAAATGAAGATGTATGGTATAATTACTGGACAACACGAACAACAATTGATTTCAAAAAGACCTATCAACAATCAATCAAAACAGAAAAACTCAAGGAACTCTTTCCAATTTATTTATTCTATGTAGAGATGATGTTGGAAATTATACATTGTCCAGAACCCTCGCAGGGAAGAGGACAGCTTGATTACGTAGAACAACTGGAAACGGCCAGCGCGCTCTTTTTAGACTTGGAAAACCCGGTGCAGGATGTAAGGACAAATGCTTCATGGATGGAAAGGAGGGAAAGGTTAATTCAAGCAGAAAAAGATGGAAAGCTGTGCAACTGTAGAACTCTTTGGATCTTTTTAGATGTCTGGATCCAATTACACTTTAGACAGCTGCACGCTATGGGATCAGACCGAACTGGAAAGTTTCTGAAGCGCGATTCCAAAATATTATTCGACTATATCTTTTGCTTTTCAATTGAAAACTTGAACAAATATCACAGATCTTTAACCTTGCCGGGCTCAGCTAGTAACCCACATTCCCATATGGGTGGCACCTCAACACACATATAAATTTAGAGGGGCTTACGATATGACGCAAGAACATTCCATGGGCAAGTTGGAATCAGAGGGGGATTTGTTGACTTTTTTCTATGTTTGACAAACTTACACAAATGTGTATCTCTTCGAAGCTTTATTATTTCTCAGATTTTTTTTCTTTCCTTTTGTACTCTCATCGGTATCTGTGAAAATGAATTTGAACATGCACGACGTATGCTCTAGAAAAGTGGCAAAGGGCTCACTTGTGAGTCAAACGATTGAATGGTAGATGGCTTTTAAGAATCCGAGAACTAGAGGGTCTGTCTAAGTTTACGCTGTCTTTCCAACTTATTTAGTCTACTGTTTGAATCACATGGGTGTAGATTTGTATTACGAGGAGGCTGAGTCATTGGCAACGACAGGGGCAGATAATATAGTGACAGTACGATCCATTCCACCGACTACGATTTCGCTTCCAGCTTTGGTGAAGTTGAGGCCAGTTAGCTCGGCGGCATTGTTGTCGTAAACTACCAATTCTTCCCAGGTCTTGTTTTGCCAAATTCTCAAATCGTTTCCAACAACTCCGATAAATTGAGCGCTATAATCCCAAGCAACCTGGGTGGGTTCATAGCCTTCGGGAAGGGTGATCGTATGATAGTTGGTTAATTTACGCAGATCCCAAAGTTTGATAGTCGCTGAGTGTTGAGCCGTCGTCGCCAAAGAATAACCATTTTCACTAAAGCACATCGACTTGATCGGCCCCCCGCCAACGTTTGCGTGGCCCTCAAAGTCGGCTACACAAGTCGCCGTTTTCACGTCGAAGACCTTCAAAGCGCTATTGGATAATCCCGCAGCTAGAATTACGCCATCGGGATGCCATTTGACCGAGCTGATGCTTGTGCCGGCGGGTACGTCATTCAGGGAGACCGAAAGAATCGTTTTGGGCGTTCCAGATGGATGTTCGAGGTCGTGAAGGGCCCATGAACCGTCTCCGCACCCGGTGAGAAGTAGGGATTCTGATGGGTGTAGGTCGATACCGGTCACTTCGTCGGATTGAACGATGGTACCACCGGCGACATACCCCACTTTCTTTTCGCTGGGCACCCAGAACCGAATGGTCTTCTCGTACGAAGCAATAATCATCTTAGGTAGTTCTTTCGATGTTGCATTCTGACCTCCAACAACGGCAATCGAGTTGATCTTTTTAGTCGAACCTTTCATCGTAGCAAGAACTTTCTCTGTCGTGCGATCATAGATTTGCACTACTTTGTCCATCCCACCGGTTACAATCAAATTGTCGTCCAAACCTGTGACTTTCAGGCAGGTAATACCAGGGGGTTTGGTCGAATGGAGTGATGGTATAGATGTCTTTTGAATGTAAGTCTTCAATGCAGCCGGAGACGCGTAGCCAGCCGGAATTTGTCTTTTTTTGCGAGTGGCCATAAGACTAGAGGTCCAAAGCAACCACCAGAAGGTCCAAAGCAACCACCAGAATCAGAGAAGCCCCACAAGGATCACGTGGTAGATGACAACACATACGCTTTAGAGGTTGTGTCAATACGACCCAGAACTGCCTCGGGCAGGCCCTGAGGTGCGGCAGCATCTTTCATTTCCGTGTCGTTACCATTGGTTTTCGACTCTAAAGCGCTGCTGAGACCAAGGGAAGATTGTACACTTCCTAGCGCTTCACGTGCTTCATCGCGCTCTTTTAGGACTCGAGCAAGAACTCGCATTGAGGCATCTTCCTTGTAAAGAGCGTGGGACAGCTCTTGGCGCAGAGATGCGTTTTGCTTGCGCAACTCGTAACACTCGAGCATGTTGGCGTCCCATTCGTTTTGTAGAGTGACCAGGAGGGACGGCACGGACGAGAGGTTAGGAGCTCGGGGTGGCGGCGCAGGGGCGGATGGCACTTTGGGGAAGAACGGGATTTTTTTTATACGTGAGCACATGTCGATTGACTCGTTTTCTGTGAAACATCAAAGAGAATGTTTCTGGATACCTGTTTTCACATCGACCAACTCTGAAAGCTCCACGATATCTCCTGTGATCGGATCCTTGCCTTCATTCTCCTTGAGATATTTTTCAATCAAACTTCGCTCATAAACGTATCCCGATTTGATAGAAACGACTGGGTGAAGAGGAGACACTCCCGAAACTAGCGCAGGCGGAAATTCAGGTTAGTCTCGAGTGAAGGTCATCGAGAGGATTCGAAAAGTAGGTGTGAGGGTGACTCACTTGCACAGAACATTGCAGAAGGTTTCCTGAAGTGAAGATGAGGATGATCGATAGGTTGGCGGATGTTGATCGAGTGGATGTTGGCTGGATTGGGTTGGTTCCGCTGGCGTGATCAGCCTCTCGGGGGGAAACATGGGGGGTGACCCGAGGGGGCTTCGATCACCTGGACAAGCCCCAATACTCGAGGGAATACGCATAAATGTTCACCAGGGGCCTCAAAGCAGCTCAACAGAGCTCAACGCTCACCAATATCATCACACAAGCTGCACCAAACAAAGACACCGCTGATGCCAGATTTCAAATTTGAGTTTATTCAACTTTGATTCAAAAATTCATAAAAATAAAGAAATCTTGTTTGATATAGTTCTGCACTGGGTACCAAGAGAAGCCAAGAAGCTTAACTACAGCTAATACCAGAAAGGTTATCACCTGGAACTGGATTTTCCAAGCAGAGATCAAGAGAGATTCAGGTTAATTTTTAAAATCTATCTACCAAAGTTGGCTAAAACAGTAAGTTCACTGCAAAAATGCTGTTTGAGTTTGAGTTTGCATATGGATTTGGTATATCCAGGAGTTTTTCTTGCAGGAAAATCCACACCCAGTGCAACAACCTTTCTGGAATGAGCTCTATTATGTGAGAAATTTTACATTGAAATCTTGGAGTTTTTCCCCATATATTTTGCTCCATTTCAAAGAATTCAAATTTCAGTTTGATCTGAGTTTATTCAAAAACAGAATTAAATGTTCTCCTTCCAGCTTACAAAAAACTTGCTTGACACATTGAACATCTAAGAAAATCATGAAAATCTACAAGCCTAGTTTTTCTATGGACTTGGACACGTCTAGTCTAAGCTTCCTGTCAAGTTCCAACCACATCTTCATGAAGTAATAAATGATGTCACAACTCAAAATAAGAGACAATGAAATCATCATTATTTTACAACTATTATGTGAATTGGTAATTATGACATCACCTATTAATTATTGTTCAGAAATAAATTTCAATCAGAGTATTAGAGAAGAATGGAGTAGTTATCAAAAAATTTGTTCCCAGTGGGAGAATGTCCACAAGATACACATATTTTCATGTGACAAACTGGCTCTAGTCCTGACCTGGCATGTAGTAATGGGTGCTTGGTGCAGGGTGGTTATCACTGCAACACCCAGTCGCCTTCAGTGCAGCCCAGCCACATTTTTCACAACTGTATTGTTTGCACTGAACAAATTTCAAACAGTTAGGTGGCCCCCCCAACAACTTACAGGAATATTGCCCTTCTGCACCTGTAGGCTTGAGACTTTTTGTGGCCTTTTTACCAGGACACGTCCCACACAGGAAATCTTCACCCATAACAAGGCTGAAAAGGTGCATTGTGAAAATGAGAGCCAGGAATTTAATGCTAAGGATGCACATGATGGTATTGAGGGGAAGGTGTGATTTGGTTGAGACCCGGAATTGAACTCGGGTGGTTGAAGAGTGATTGAGTATGTTGGAACACGTTGGGCTCTTGAAATGGCTGGAGAATACCACTATGCCAGCTGAACGTGATGGGGAGCTGGTCTACACAGGTATTTAAGTGAGGTTTGAACTTCATAACCACACATAATATTTTGCTAGATCAAAATGCTACTGGACTAGAGAATTGGGTCCTTGCCATTTTTCTCTGTGGCAGTATGTAGATGGCTATAGATGGTGAGCCATGTGATCTGATCTGAGGTGCAGTGGGTAGACCATAGTTTTTGGTGAGGGAAAAAAAAAGAAACAGGAAATCCCAGGTTTTCCTGGGATCTTCCTGTAGTGAGTTACTTGCATGTAATTCCACTCCTTGAGGGCCTATGTACAGTGGGTGGACCGTTATTTTTGGCTGCCTGTTTTGGACCCCAGAGCTTCAAAGCACCAAATTGAAGTGATGAGACTTGGTAAAGTGGTGCAGAATAGGTGCCAAAGAATGAATATGAAAAAAATAAAAACAAAAAACAAAGTTTCAAAATTTGTGAAAAATAAAAAATAAAATTGTTTTTTTTTTTCAAAAGCTTTGATAGTCATTTTGGGGGAGTGGGACTGCTTAGAGAAAGAAAGAGTGGAAAATAACAAGAATGATTATAAATGAAAAAAATTAGAACCAAGAAAGGTTGAGCCAGGTTGGTTGTTCAGATAGGAGACAAAACAGTAAATTCTAATGCTTTGCCACAACATGTGCTGGTGAATGTGCTACTCAACAGTTGTTTGAAACCACCTGCAGGTGACCATTTTTTACAAAATTTTATTTATAATCATTCTTCCCATGTTCCATTCTCTCTTTCTTCCAGTGCTTCCACTCCCCCAAAATGAATATCAGAGCTTTTGGAAAAAAATATTTTTATTTTTTATTTTTCACAGATTTTGAAACTTTTTTTTGTTTTTATTTTTTAATATTCATTCTTTGGGACCTATTCTGCACCACTTCACCAATTCTTGTCACTTTAAGTTTGTGCTTTGAAGCTCTGGAATCCAAAAAAAGCAGCCAAAAATAATGGTCCACCCACTGTACAGCCAAATGGCCCAATCAATCACAAGATCTGCTGTGTGACCTGGTAGATCACATGTTGCTAAGGGAGCCACTGAGAATCTGAAATATTGTAAAAAAAAGTGTATTTATTGAATCTTTCCAGGATTTAAATAACAAAACATGACCTCCCTAGAACAGAGGTATGTAGGTGACTCATTTTTTTATCCTAAAAGGGTGGGTTTTTGAAAGAATAGCCAAGATGCCCATTGCCAGGCTAACATCCCATGAGCTCAGTTCTTTACAAGCTCTGGAGGTTTTGAACCCCCCTTTACCTAGACAGAAAAGTTCTCCTTACCTCTTGTCTAGGTGAGTAGAAGTTGTTGTTCTCCCGTTTATTCCTCTATCGCTCTCATCTCTCCAGACTATCTTGTATATACTGATAATATATGAGAGTTCTCCTTCTCTCCCACCTGGTCTTGAAATAATAATCCCTTCTTTGGTTGCAGAAACCATAGGCTTTTAGCCTTGTGCCTTTCCATTGAATGAAGTAAGAGCTTCAAGTGAGAGTCTCAGCTCTTACAGTTTGTTAATTCAGCTCCCATATTCTGAAAAAACGATATTGTTGTAGTTACAAAGTTGCTGGAAAATAATTCTTTTTTGTACATTTTTTGTTTGTTTTTGTTGAGTCGTTTTGAAACGCATCTTATATTCACTCTCATCAGCCCTTTGAGCCCTATGAGGGAAAGATTGGGCCTTAAAATTCCTCCTTTACCCTCGAGAACCAGAAATTGAGGGGCCAAAAATTATGGTCCAGCCACAGTACATAATTTATTTTGCCAGTACATCATTGTTTGTTGAGGAAACACCCAAGAGAAAGAATCAATATACAATATCATTAACTTAGGTCTATTTACAACAAACCATCTGTCGCGCAGAGTCAGCGGCTTATCATGAATGCGGCCTGTCATCATCAATTCAGGACTCCCTGCATGACCAGAAAGAATTGGGAGACAATTTCAAGAGGCTTCATAACATGAATTTTCAAATTGAAAAGGCATACAGGGAAAGGTGTGATTCTTGTGAATAAATATTAACTCAGAGCCCCCATTGTCAATACTGCATTACTGCTCCTAGCGGGGGTGGGCACTTCAGACCAGTAAGTAAGCGCAGGCAGACTAGGAACTTGTGTGTCAAATTTAGCTTGGCAAACAGGCAAAAAGGGAGTGCTTGGTTAACAGTATTGTTGCTGGCTTACCTCGGTATTGCATTGTGCTCAAACCTCGCAGTCAAACCTATTTGCATCATGCAGTATATCTCTAACTTAATGAAGTTCCTTGTCTTCTGCTGTCTAAAGCAGTCTTTTGCCTGCACAAATTGACCTTCATTCACTCATTTTTTCATCATTATACATTGAGCTCATAGCATAGTTGGATCTCCACGTTGGTCCCCATTTTTCCCCACTCGGCCCCTGTCTTAGAAAAGTGCAAATGTTCTTTTTTTCACTGCTTGTCATTGTTAAGTTTGAATAACTTTCTCTTCTCCGAAGTGACCAAATAGCCAAGCGGAAATCTAATCCGACATTATTCTCTTCACAGATTTCTTCGGGGATTGTACCTGCCCTCTCGGCACCACCCGCATACACGTCTAAAGGCGCCGTAGATTGTTCACCTCGATTCAATCAATACGAAACAACCGACATTGCATCGGCGAGCTATGATAAGACCGGAGATTTGCGCCATTCAGTTTGTTCCCCGGAGCCTCATGACATAGATCCCGGTGAGCTGACCATTACCAAAACTAGTAGACAAGCCAGAAACCTAGGAAGTCCAGAGAACCACTTGCTAACAGACCATTATTTCTTGGAATAAGATTCCGGCCATAGAAAAGGAGGCGACCAAGCGCATATAGGCTTCGACCGATCGATTGCTCGTACTGAGCCCAAAGATTTGAGCGCTTTAGGCGCCGGCGACCAAGTAATTACTAACTATGATGACATTGCCAAACTCGATCATCACCCGAAGAAGTTATCATGGGATTTGCTCAAGCAACTAACAAAAGAGACAATCCCCCGTATTGTATTGGTCAATTTCGTTGTGGCCCTGATCGCAAAGTGGCACGATCGCTATTAAAAAATTACTTGATTCACCGTAAAATTGGCCTGCAAGTCACCGAAGCGGATTCAGATTGATAGGAGGTGTGGTTTTAGATGCTTCATAACACTTCTGAGTGTCAAATATATGTGATGTGGAACTTCTTCTGCAAACTTTCTCCGACTCGGCTTGTACTACTTCCTTTGTTCATTCTTTAGTTTCATTTAAGGATAAGTAATGCATGTGCTCCTTCTTTCTCCGAGTCCTTACATTTCAATACTTTAAAACACTCCTTCATACTAGTGAGCGGTCGGGCCCCTGAAAGCTTCCCACCGGTCTCGGACCCATTCTGTAAGACTGCGTCTCGGGTGCGTCCGGTTGCGGGACCAATTGTTCAGATCTGTCCGGTTATTGCTTGGGCACGACTGCCTGAGCATGGAATCCTAGCATGTAACTCCTATTGGTGAATGGTAACAAAAAAATCCACGTTTCATCCCATGAAATACGAATGAGAGGCAACATTTTCTATTCACGACTGTTGCGTTTGTCCACTTTCAAGAAATTTAGCCTTCCGGCCCGGACATACTATGCCTGCTTCCAACTGCCGCCTGCTTGCCTGCTCGGACCCGTGCGACGCAGCTGCCCCGCTTCAGATCGAGGAATGCATGCAAGGGATGGCGGTTACAAGTGGAAGAAATTATCTGTTGCATTATTTATAGAAGAAGCATGTGTCTACGTATCGAAATACAGTGGCGCGCGGCATTGTACTGTACAAGGCCACCCGCAAAAGTTGATTAGGTCGCGCGGGGTTAATCCTCACCCCCGACGGGGGTCCAGCACCTGTAAAGAATACATATTTGGAGTCTACAAGGTGTGTAGATTCCAAATCTAAATGGGCGACCAATTTGGTCCAGCCAAAAAAAAAATAAATCTTTTTTTCACCGGACCATTCGGTCACAGGCCAAATATGGGGGCCTAAGTACATAAGTATGGAATAGGCTGACACTATAAACCCATACTTATATGGCTATATGTCAGCCTAAGCCCATACACATAAGCTTAAAGCCTATGTAGATGGTCAAAAGTGCATCGGGTGGACTGATTACAGCATCGTGGATGTCAGATTGACGTCTCAACCCCCCAGAAATTAATAAAAAAACTCAGATTTTTCCAAATTTTAGGTCCCGACCATTCGGACATCCCAAAATCCTATACAGTACAATGCCGCGCGCCACTGTAGTTGCACTCAATTCAGCTTCCTCATCTGTGCGTAATAAACCTATTTATGTTATTTCCTTTCGGGCTCCCTTGCGGCCCGGCTTTCTGGGTAGCCCTGTGTGCAGCCTTTTGTATGTCATGCCTTCTTTTTTCGTCGTCAAAAGAATCTTATTATCGAGTCTGACGTACTTGATCCCTCATTTCTTCACGTGTTCTACTTGGTTAAGGGGTCAGCTCTCATCCATACGAATTCAACTCCATGCGTTCTCAATTTTCGCATTTCGCAATGTCGTCCTCTCAATCTAAAGCTATTACTTACCAACATCAAGATAGTCTGCCTCAGTTACCTGTCCCTGAGCTAGAATCAACAGCGCACAAGTACCTCCGCTCTATCCTACCCATCGTCTCTCCTCAGGAACCTAACACTCCTAGTGCTTCTGATCTTACTCCTACTCCCGCCTATAAACGTACCAAAGCTTGTGTCGAAGATTTTCTCAAGTCTCCCTTGGTCAAAGAACTCCAAGCCAGATTGAAGAAGCGAGCTGAAGATGAAGGTCGTGAGAATTGGTTAAGCGACTTATACAGCCAGTGGACATATATGGGCACTCGCAAACCCGTGATCCCCTACTCGTCATATTACATTGCCCATAAGCCTGATCATCGGGCCAACACCGCTGCCAAAAGAGCTTCTCAATTGGTTCGAGCCATGCTTGAGTTCAGACATCAACTAGAAACGTACGTGCTTCCCTTGGTATCACTTGGGTTATTACTCCCAAGTTGATGTAGCAAAGTTATTGTTTTCGAATTTGTCCTTCAGAGAACAACTTGAACCCGACTTTGCGAGGTCTGTGCCCCTTTGTATGAGCGGCTACAAATGGCTCTTTAACTCTTGTAGATATCCTTTGAAGCCCTCTGACACTGCCAAGAAGTTCGATCCACAAGTCAATAATCATTTAGCAGTAATTAGGAAAGGGCAATTCTTTGAGTTTTCAGTCACTAAATCTGACGGGAGTTGGTTATCAGCAGTTGAAATCGAATCGTGAGTATTTTCTAATTCTCTCAATCCCTTCTGAGGATAAATGGTCGCCACTCATTACTTATTGCGAGCGGGTTTATTGAAATTTTAATCTGGATTCTATTTCCCTAGACAGTTTGAAAAAGTTATTAAACTGGCTGGCTCAACTGAAACCACATTTCCAGTGGGGGCACTTACGACACAAGATCGCGACGCATGGGCCGATGTAAGCATGTATCTGCTGGGGCACCAACAGGCTTCAACAGCCCGCTGATTTTTTTTGACTGTTCGAAGACACGAGTTGAATTATGCAATGCCAATCCTCACAATGCCAATTCTCTTGAAAGAATTTAATCCAGCATACTCTGCGTGGCTCTAGATGATAATTCTCCGATGACGAGAAATGAAGTAAGCCCTTCGAATTCTTTCGCCAGATTGCTAATGTGCTTACACAACTGGAGCTCACTCCCACAGCTTGGATTCACACTCTGGACCGGTGGAGGTAAGAACAGGTTTTTTGATAAGCAGCAATGTGAGTTGGAATTCTCAAACAATGCGTGGCCTACAATGAAACACTGAGAAACTTTGTGAGCGAGACAGTGATTGTTTGCGAAAATGGAGAGAGCGGTTTCAATGCCGAACATTCTTGCATGGATGGGACGCCAGTGGCTAGGATGAACGATTGGATAGTCGACGTGCTTGCCAATAAAAAGATTGACTTGGGTTCCAGCTCTCAAGCCAATTTACCAGCTCCAAGTCCTATAGAATTTGTGCTATCAGATACCACCAAACAGAATATCTTGAAAGCAATTATGAAATTTGGAAGGTTGATGTATCCTCATACATTGGAGGTCTTCGATTACTCCAGCTACGGAAGTCGTGTGATCAAGAGTCAGTTCAAGTCGTCCCCGAACACTGTTGCACAGATGATCTTCCAACTAGGCTATTACAAGCTGTTTGGCCGAGTACCAGTGACCTGGGAGCCGTCTCAAACAAGAAAATTCAAGCTAGGTCGAACAGAGGTGATTCGTTCTTGTTCAATTGAGGCTCTCGAATGGTGTAAAGCTATGGAAAATGACGGGGCTGATTGGAGCGCACGACTCGAAAAATTCAAAATTGCCGTCAAAGCACATTTGTCATATTCTCAACAAGCCAGCGAAGGACAAGCTGTCGACAGACATTTGCTAGGTGAATCCATTCTTCTCGCAGGGTACTCCCCCCTGCTCAAAAATAATACACCTGTGGCTGATGACTGTGGCCACGCACTGTCCATAGGATTGAGACTTTCTCTGAAACCTGGGGAAGAAATTCCACCTTTGTTCCAAGATCCGGTGTACAAAGAATCTACCAGCTGGAAGGTTGCAACCAGTCACATGCCTTCAGAAAATTTTAGTGGTTTTGGTTATGGAGCAGGTAAGTAGAATTGCTCATTTGTTTCAAAATTTGCACAACAAAAACTGATTCATGGATGGCACCCAGTTGTACCTGATGGATTTGGCTTGGGTTATGCAGTCAATAAAGAGTCAATCAGATTTACCATTACAACACCCACCAAAAATGGTGCACGATTGAACCACTACTTACAAGAAGCAGCAGATGATATTTTGCAGATGATGAAATTTGAAAAGGGTCAAAGTTCAGCCAGCGCCAGATTGTAACTGCTTTCTCTAATCTCTTGATCTGAACCCAAGTTTGTCAAACTGAAACCATAACCGGGTTACTCTGATTTGGTTTTAGTCTGTGCCTCTGGGTTTAGAAAAGATTATTTGAATATTCACCTCTACTAAAGCCATACGACTCAGTTAGACTTAGTTAAATGTGTATTGGTGACCCAGAGGTCCAGTTTGCTCAATTGTCAGACAGAAAAAAAATTCTTGTGTCATGTTGGAAAGATAAGAAGAAGCCTAATTGTAACCGTATTGAGCACACTTGGATCTTTATCCTGGGATTGTGAATTTGACTTTATAAGAAATTTAACCCAGAAACCATGCCATTACCCCCCAGAGCCTCATCCTTACCAGAATCCCCACATCCTCAATATCTCAGCAGGTGACTTGTACAAGACATCAGTAATAAATCTCATACTAAGATTACCCACAGAAATAGCCACACCTTTTCTTGAATTCTTAGTGTAACTCTCTCCCAAGCCTTGACAAGAGGGCAGCTTCATCATCATCCAAGTCTTCAGTTCAAATTTTCCCCTGTGTAGTTGTTCTTTTCCCCTCTAAGCTCTTTTCTTTAGCCTGAAAAGTTCCACAGCGGACATTATTAACCTTTCTTTCTTATCTTTCTTATATGTCTGAAACAGTGTCTACTATCTTTCTTTATTTGATCTAATATACTTCAGTCTTTCAGTTCTGTCTAAATCAAAAGTTAACACTTCTTGTGGTAAATCTCATTGTCACTTTCTCTTTCATTCCAATTCTCTTTAATTCTTTTTTGTTGTTTATTAACTCTTTTCTTACAATTTTTACAGTTCTGCTTCTGCTTTCAATAATAATTCCTGTTTTTAATCAGCAATACAATGCAATGCATATGCATGCATCAAATCAGTTACACCGTTGATATGATCCATGAACATTCCTAGGCTTCCCTGAGGGAGGGGGGGCTGTCAATTGTAGTTCTGGGGTCACAGTTACGCCAAAATGCGCTAACTGTTAGCATAGTGTTAGCGGGATTGCACCTGTCTGCACTAATACTATGCGCACAAGGCTCAAAAAAAAGTGCCCACTGTAGGACTCCTGGGACGGATAGACACGGTAAAGTATATGCATATCAAAAGATCCCTTAGGCTTGAGGGGGAAATAAATTGCAAATAGGTTGAATTTGAAAGGCTATTACAACTTATGGGTGGTTTGAAAGACCTTCCCCTCTAAATGTACTAAACAAATAACTAAGAGTCTTGTAAGCAATATTTAATGTTGTATGGCTGATTCCAAGATAGATCTTACTTTTGTAAAGTAATCTCTATCAGACCTAGATCATGTATCAATCTACTAATGAATCTGTTACAACTTCAGTTTAATAATGGATACTGTGGTGCTGATGACTTGAGCACAAAACAGATGAGTTGTTATTGAGTTTGTTAATTATATCTTCCCCAAACAATTTCTTGCTAAGGCACTTTAATAAAAGACTAGAGCTCTGGTGCTAATACTACTACTACTAATACTTGTTTATTTGTTAATTGTTAATGTACTACAATTTATATGATGACTACTACTACTAATATGCTTCAAATTCCAAACTCTGTGTTGGTTTCACGCTTACCAAACTGTTATAACTTGCTATGTATCACTAACTAACTTCACTACTTATCTCACTAACCAACTATGACCAACTTACTGCTGTAGGTCGATGCACTAACTTCACTAAATAACTAACTAATACTAATTCTAACTCTTCACTTTACTGAAACTCCAGAACACTTCCGGTAGCTCAGGACCAAACTTACTGCTCTGTAAGACTTCTGTAGGCTGATTTGGAGAAGGGACCTTCTGGTGGGGAGAGGCTCTTCTTTTATATTGAAGAGTGAGGGAATTCTGCTACAAGGGACTCCTTGTGAGGGATGTATAGCACCTGACCAATGCACTAAGAAAAGGTGCTGTGGTCCATGTGTGTGGATAAGATTGGTTTTGGATAGAGATGGTCAAAGGATATCTGTTATCCACTGGCGGATATCCGCCAGCAGATACGGATGTCCCCTTCCCCCTGAAATCCTGGTGGATATCCGGGTATCCCAGGGGAAATCCGCCCATATAAGAGGGGAAAAAGGAAAAGCAAAGAAAAGAAAAAACAAAATAAAAAATAAAACAAAAGAGCAAATAAAATGAGGGCCTTAATAAAAAAACACGGTTTTTGCTGCGCGCTGTGGTAAGACCAATCAAAACCAGTCACACTCTACTGGCACTATTATGGACTCACTTCCCTATTTCTACATATCAAAACAAACCTCAAATCAACATTCTACATATGAAATACACAATTGGCCACCTATACACAGTACATGGACACTACTATCGAGACCACAAGGATCAACAATCCATTAGTAACACAAATCATGGACTGCCAGCCACACTTATAAAATAAATACAAACTAGGTATAAAGTGGGAGAAAGTCCACCATCCAAGGGAGCCAGACTATTGGGAAAGACCCTTGTTCTGAATCATCTTTGTTTCTCTCATTACATACCATGGCACTCTCTACAGTAGCTGCATATGTCATGTTTCCATCCCTGTTGTTTCAGCCTTGTTTTTCCCCATGCTACATATGTCAGTCCCAAGCCATGTTGTTGCCTTGTTACATGTACCCTGTGATGATTCATTGCCCCTTGTTTTCTCATCCTCTCCTAGAAGACTTATATGTAGTGCTCTCTTGGCCCTTGCCATTTGTCCCCTATCAGAGTTGTCATTATTGCTCCCTGTTCATTGATTTAGCATTACTTACTTGGAATATATTTAGCATTACAGACTTGAGACATTTCAAACAGACTTATTATCTTCATACCTTACCCTTTTTCAAATCTTACATCTTCATTTAGCCACAACTTTGTTCAAGAGTCCATACTCTTATTTCTTGTTCTTCTTGCTCTCCCATTAACCAGAGAGGCAGCCCTTCAAGTTCTCATCCCTCTCTAAGCTCTATTCCTCTCAAGAGTAGTTCCACAGTGCAGCACACGCGGATTCTGCGTTTGGATGTGTTTTGTTAATTAATTTTTTTACCACTTATTTTTCATGTTTTTTTTTGAAATTTTAAATTTATTTCCTGGGTTTTAAAATGTGTAGAACTTTGTGGTAATATTCAATTTCTGTAAAAATCAAAGGATCACTTTGAAAATTGCAATTGAACATATTTTTCAATTAATTTCTTACAGCTTATTTCTCAAAATGTTTAACATTTCAATTTTTTTCCTACACCTTTATGGTAATAATCATTTTGCATCAAAATGAAAATTCATTCTTGAATATTGTATTTGGCATGTTTTTTTTTTAATTAATTCTTTTAGGCCTAATTTTCATTATTTTTTAGAATTTTGAGGTCATTTCCTACATTTTGAGAGGTTTCAAGTCTTATGGTATTATTCGTTTTACCCAAGAATCAAAGCTTCATTCTTAATATATGAGTTTACCCCATTTCTTGCATAATTTGTGCTGTACACCAATTTTATTTGTATGCAAAAATGGTATAACCATCAATTTTCGAACCTTTCAAAATGCATAGAGATGGCCCCTCATACTTGCATACTTGCAACAAGTACAAGTACTTGCATGAAAAATTGCAGATCTCAGACACCCAGGGCAGGACAAAGCAAGTACTTGCATACTTGTGGCAAGTACTTGCAAGTATGCAAGCTTATTTTGAGAGATAAAGGTGATGAATTTCTTGTGTTTTCATTTCATATATTTGTATTTGTAAACTAAGTGAACTAAGTGATTGTAAATAGTAATAATAATCCCTTCATTTTCTTCCAGATTTCTCCCTTGCTGCTTTCTTCTCATTCTTCTTATTTGCCTTCCATTTTCTCAAAATCCCCCTCTTGATCTTACCGCTTTTTGAGTAAAATGCCACACTCATCCCCCTAGTGACAGACTGTGCACTGAGCCTGTGCCTCCCAAGAGAAGCATATTCCTTACCAAAGTTAAAGGATTGCTCCACATCAACAGTGGTTGCTTCAGAATGTGCGGGAAAGTTGGTAAAAAATTAACCAAAATAATATTAATAATTTAGATAAAAAACACACCTGGATAAGTAAGCACATCAAGTGCCATCTGAAGTAAAGGTGTGCAGGTGCACACTTGCATGAAAATTCTCAGATCTCAGACACCTGCACTTGCACCCGTACCTGTAGGCAAGTACTTGTTGGAAGGCAACGAGTACTTGCCAACAAGTAGCAAGTACTTGCAAACAAGTACTTGGTGCCATCTCTAAAAATGCAGGAAATCAATTTAAAATTCCAAAAAATAATGGGAATCAGGCCTGTAAGAATTAGTTAAAAAAACATTCCAAATACAATATTCAAGAATTAATTTTTATTTTGATGTAAAATAATTAGGCATATTGGGTCTTAGCTAATCGACTCCCAAAAAGTGGAGGATCGACTCCCAAACCCCGAAATCCCCGAGGAATGGGAGTCAATCCCCCAAACCCGTCAGCGGGTTTGGGAGTCGAAAAACCAATGATTTTAATAAAAAAAAAGCCACCCCCCGAAGGAGATGGGGGTCGATGCCCCAAAACCCACTGGGTTTTGGGTGTCGATTACCAAAAAGAGCCCGCGACGCCCGGGAGGATTCCTCCCGGCCGCTGATGGCACACCCTCAGCGGCCGAGAGAAACACTCTCGGCCGCTGAGAGTGTACACTCTCATCGGCTGGGAGAAACACTCTTGGCTGATGAGAGTGTACACTCTCATTGGCCGAGAGAAACACTCTTGGCCGCTAAGGTCAGCAGCATACCTGTCCCAAAATCTGCTCTTTCAAGCTAACAAAACAACCGGGTTTTCTATATAGGTCTCCCTGGATCCTTATCGAAGAGAATCAGTCAAGATCCTCAAGATATTCTCAGAAATTTGTCCGACGATCGAGAAGGCCTCAATAGATGAAGCCTTCCTCGACTTCTCGATCCCAGTTCAAGAGATCCTCTGCACTTGATACGCCTTCCCGAGCTTAGAAGCTCTACAGGACTCATCATCAGAGATCAGCCTGGATGATCCGTTGCCTAATCCCCCTCCGCTTGACTTGGAAGATCTCCTTCGAAGCTCCCAGAGCAATCTTGTCCCTCTGGATGCCGACTCTGATTATCCCACTAATACTTGTACTGATATCGCGCTCCTCATCGGCACCGAATTGATGGCCCGCTGTCGTCAACAAGTTTTTGATCGATTGGGTTATACCTGTTCTGCAGGAATAGCAACCAATAAGGTCAATCACAAAGATTGTTCTTTTTTTCGCTTGAACTACTAAAAATTTGATCATAACCTGTCCACTAAACAGATGCTAGCAAAACTATGCTCAGCTTACAAGAAACCAAATGCACAAACGGTGCTTCGAGCGGGAGCAGTCCGGGACTTTCTGCGCCCGTTCGAGCTCTCCAAGCTGCGTTTCTTGGGAGGGAAGCTAGGCCAATCGGTTTCCGAGTTAGTCGACTCGACTTGCGACAAGTTGTGTCAGTTGAGCAAGGTCTGGAAGGTCCCACTCAGCCAGCTCCAGGCTTCTCTTGGCGAGCAGACTGGCATGTGGGTCTGGGAATCCGTCCACGATGTCAATCGCTCCGAGGTCGAGACTAAAACACTCGTCAAGAGTATGATGTCTTCCAAAAACCTTCGGCCCTCTATTTCCTCTCGGCCGATGAAAGTGTACACTCTCATCAGCCGAGAGCGTTTCCCTTGGCCGATGAGAGTGTACACTCTCATCAGCCAAGAGTGTTCCTCCCGGTGTTTCTCTCGGCCAATGAGAGTGTACACTCTCATCAGCCAAGAGTGTTTCTCCCGGCCGATGAGAGTGTACACTCTCAGCGGCCAAGAGTGTTTCTCTCAGCCGCTGAGGGTGTGCCATCAGCGGCCGGGAGGAATCCTCCCGGCCGTCGCGGGCTATTTTTGGTAATCGACACCCAAAACCCAGTGGGTTTTGGGGCATCGACCCCCATCTCCTTCGGGGGGTGGCTTTTTTTTATTAAAATCATTGGTTTTTCGACTCCCAAACCCGCTGACGGGTTTCGACTCCCATTCCTCGGGGATTTCGGTGGAAATTCCGGGGGTTTCGGGGTTTGGGAGTCGATCCTCCACTTTTTGGGAGTCGATTAGCTAAGACCCAATAATTATTACCATAATTTTTTACATGTATTAAAGTGTAGGAAAAAAATTAAAAATGTCAAAAAATATTGAGAAATAAGCTGTAAGAAATTAAATGAAAAAATGTGTTTAATTGGAATTTTCAAAGTGATCCTTTAATTTTTAAAAAAATTGAACATTACCACAAAGTTCTACGCATTTCAAAACCTAGGAAATAAATTTAAAATTTAAAACAAAATACATGAAAAATAAGTGGTAAAAAATTAATCAAAAAAACATGTCCAAACGTGGAAACCGCGTGTGCTGTGCAGTGCTACACTGCTTCAAAACTGCGTCAAGATGTGGAAAAACCGTGTTTTTTTATTAAGGCCCTAAAAAAATTTAAAAGAAATTTTGCCAACTGCTCAACAAAATAAAATTGAAGAGCAAAAAGAAATATGTTTCGGATTTACTTTGCGCACGGGAGAAAACTCTTCGCGCACGGGGATCGTCGTATCCTCAACGTCGCGACCCTCCCGTGCTCACACCATAAATATATCAGTAGTTAATTCGCACACGGGGACTGCAGGATCACCTTTCTTCCATTTTTTTTGGAGATAATGAAATAAAGCGGTTTGGAGGGCCCCCCGAAAATGTTTTCTTTCTTCAAAAAGTACTCAAAGTTGGCAAATAATTAAATTAAAACAAATAAAATGAGAAAGAAAAAATAAAAAAGGATTACAAGATTGGGCTCAAGCTAATCAACATGAACGGGAACCTGGTTAGTTCCTCCTGGGAACTTTTTTTGATCCACTCTTGCCGATTGATATGGGATCACATCCTCCCACCCCTTTTCCATGAGGTATTTTAGCTACATACAAAATTTGAATGAGTAAATGTGATTGGTCAGACATGTACAAGAGTTGAAGTGGTGAGCCAAACAGCTGAAAGAATGATTCTGATTGGTCAGGTTATGTGGTGTTTACAAGTGAGTGTGGTGGTGTAAGCTGCAGCTGTCATGCAAGGAAAATAAACTAATTTAGACTGCAGGCATGATGTAATATGTAAAAGTGAAAGAGAAATAGCTGTATGTAAATGTGGGGTTGTACTGTACTGAGGGTGTCTGTAGCTTGAGGGTTGTAATTGGGATTGGTGATATGTAGTGATGAGTGAAATCCTTGTGATATGTTATCCATTGTTGGGTAAGGGTTGATCCAGGTGTGTTCCAGTGACGCCTCCAAGGTGACCAAGGGTGAATTTGTCCGTAGAGTCCAGTTCTTGAGCCGTATGGTGTGATTTCTGAGAGAAATTAGGTGATAATCTGAAGAAAATATATATATAAGAAAAGAAAAGAAAAAACTTTGAATTTTCACATTTTTGACTACCACAGCCTCCCCCAACTTATTGTCTGTCCCCAGACAATTTACCAGGAAAAAATGGGAAGAAAATGTAGAAAGAGTTAATTTTTAAACAAGAAATGAAGTGAAAAGTGTAGTGGGTATTTGGAGAAAAAAGATGGGGAAAAATGAGTGTGGCTGAAAAAAGAGTGTGATAGCCTCCCCCAACTTTGCAGTGAAGCCAAGCTGGGGTGGCTGTATTTGTGATTTTGAACCTTAAACTTAATTTTTTACAGCTGATTCGACAGGGTTTCCCCTGTGAATGTTAGTCTCAGGGTCTCTGTGTACCCCCCTTCTGTCCACAAGTGCAGAGGTGAGGGGCATTTTTTATTTTATTTTTCATCTTCTTTAGTTTATTTCATTTTTATTGTATTTTATCTTATTTACATACAAATTTTTTATTTTTACTGCGCGCTGTGCGCAGATGCACATCATTGGATGTCTGGGTGATCTTGCTGTTGACGTGGAGTAGCCTGGTTTACCTGCAAAGCCCCTTGGGAGGGGCCCAAGGGGTTTTGTGATCGTTCGGGGGTCGAGTTTTGGTTCGGAGGTCGCGCAAGGTTGAGAGAAGGCTGCGGCCGCAGTCGAGAGCGCTGAGCGCGGGTGCTTCGTTCCGCGTGTGCCGTTCCGATCCGAGTTCTGCTTACTAGACTCGTCAGCCGATGCCAATTCCAACCACCAGCCCCGCCGAATTCCGACGTCTTCTGGCGACTTCGATTGGATACCCCACGCGTCGACGACAGGTTCTGACAGGTGAGTGGTTTGTTTCTCGTCTTCTATTTACATTCTACAAT